CACCCCTGATGTCAGAATCGCCAGGAAAGATGCCGATATAGACGGTCATTTTAATACTACTGCATTTGCTTTTGAAGAACTGTTTCATCGTATTTTTCTAATTTATGAGATTTTTTGGAATTCATTCACTCTCTGTGACACGAACTTAAGACTCTTGTATCCTTTTTACAAGAGAAAAAAATGTACATTTACATAATATACAAAGGTGTAGGCGGTCAACGAAATATATGATGCGTGCACTATATACTTATTGTTGTAGGTACGATGTCCTTACCCTATTTAGAATTAATATCCATATGGTGTGTACCTGTTTGAAATACTTTCTTAAATAGAAACAGCAATTCATAGCAGGCCCTGGTCCCAGGACAGTAAACTTAAAACAGATTTAGATTTTGAGTACATTATTACACATCTTATGAAAGTTTGAAGTTTGTATAATGTAAACATATTGTGACAAATTTGTTTTATTTTTAAGATTATTTCAAAAGTTATACTAATTTGAGATTTTGACGGAAGTCTGTTCACAGTTTATGCTCTTAAAACATGCATTCTACTTAACTCGGAAAACTGACCTGCATATCTTAACATTTAGAGACCAATATACATGTATCACATTCAACAATGTCCAAGGTTTCGCAACAAATATATACATGTATGAAATGACTTGGTGGTTTCTAACAGCTGAAAAAGGTCAAAATGGTAGGCAAATTCCCGCCTTCTGTTCGTTAATATCTACTTTGTGAATCTTCGCTGCAGCGCCAGAGATGGCTATCTTACGAGAGCTTGTGTTTGAGATGACTATCTTCCCAGACTCAGAGTGATTCCATTTTAATTTCATGTTTTTTTCCATCCAAGACTTTTGATATTTTTTTTGCAAAATTATTTAATTTCATTTATATTTGAACATGACCCTTGTTCACATTTTATAAGACAAAACCAGGCAACATTTGGCATTACACGGCATTTAGTTTGTTTTTTATGAAGTAGGAAACATTCCTCAGGTCAACACTGCTAATATTGCGAAGAAATTACATTTTTTTTTTTACCTTCACACGATTCCTATCAGGTGTTTTTGGTTGGACGTTCATGTACATAATGTTTAGATTAAAAACATTTACGTACTTAGTACCTAAAATATCCTGATAAGCTCTTTTATATTAACTTAATTTTCGAGTTCAGATGTGAAGTTTTAGTCACCAAACAAACAGCCGATTTTATGCTTCAATTGTTGATCATCGTTTTCGGTACACGCTGTGATCAAGAGGAGGTTCGCAATCTCTCTGGACCTTTCTGTTTTTAATAATAATAGAGCCACCAGGTACCGATAGTTTATGTTTGTTTGTTTGTTTTTGTTTGTTTGTTTTTGTTTTTTTTTTTGTTTTTTGTTTTGGAATCATATTGGACCTACCAATTAACAAACCGATTCTACATTGTTTTTATTTCAGTGTATCCAAATATATTCAGGGTATGGATTGTGAACGGTACCAACTATCTTGTTTACATCAATACTCAAGATTTAAAAGAAACTTTTTAGTTAATCTCATCCTCGAATAATGTGGAATATGTTTGGTCTAATGGTAAAGAATGTTGTTTGCCGGAGGGACAATCTGGGTTGACAGCACTAGGATTCCATAACGAGGCTACGATGGCGCCGGCTTCAGCTGCGAATCATGGAAGACAATCCGTTTTACACCTAAGGTCAAATGTAACTTCGAAATAAATTGCATAATTGACAAATTATCGGCCATAATACTGGTATTGATTGTTGCCTTATTCTTTTTTTTTTTAAGTTTATTTTTCATAACTGATATTCATAAAGTGCACGATTCAAAGATCCTTCGTAAGTTATGCACTTTACTTAAAACAATGTAAAAGAAATATAAATCTAATTTCAATATCTGCACAGATAAAATGCACCCGTGCTGCCCAGTGAACTTGTACCAAAGTTGGCAAAGGGACTTTGATGAAAAGTTTAACACGCATACCACATTTGTAAGTTCTCCGCTAGAAGGGATCCCATTTATTTGACCATAAAGGTAAACTCAGATAGATATCGAAAACTCCTTAATTGGGCCATTAGGATTGTAGTATTGAACATCGAGCACACTTCTTTTTGTTGTACGGATTGATAACAGTGTCTTTTTCAAGTCGCACTTTCGGGGCATAAAGTGACGAATCGTGGATTTTTATCTTCACTTGAAATGTATTTTTTTTCTTTTGGTGTTATGTCTGGTAGGAATATACCTAATAGAATGGCCTTACTATGTTCTTTATGGAACCGAGGGCTGAAAATTGAAATAAATGATTTGTATACTTATGATCATAAACAATTTTTATGCACTTGATTTGTGCATTTCATGGGGAATAAGAAACATAGAAGCACCAAAGTCCCCTTGACCCTCTGTGTTACTTACTCGGTAGAAGTACTTTAAGGCGGTGCCTGTCTCAATATGACGAAGCCTTTTTTCCAGCTTAGATCAAATGCTTCCCCTGAACACAATGTACAAACATTTATAGTCCATAATTGTTTAACAAGAATGGACCTCTTTTGTTAATTTCTCTAGTGGTTACATAAGATTATATTTCTGGGACACCGTTGTCTATTTGCTATATCAAATGCTGTGTCTTTAAAATGCATGTTATACCTATTTCATTATATGTCGTGACATGGGTCATGCCAAATCAGTCAGCCTGTCAATGGTTTTGTAATGTACATAATTGTTAAACTTTTGCTTCGTTTTAGCATTAAAATTTACCAGTCAACAATTTTTACAGCGTTTCGTATAGAGTTCGGGCAAAATATTAACTACTGACGAAACACTACACGGTACGTGTTTACGTCATAATTTTCATTTAAAAAAAAAGTTTAATATCACAAGATATATCTAATTATCTATACATATGTAATATATGCTAGTATTTAATTCCCATATGTAATTTTGCGGATTAGTCGGGCATGGTAGTATACCAGGGAGAAAATACAACGGAAAAGACCGGGATTCGATAGCGGATCCTCTGAAGAAGTACCGTCTAAGCTATCTTGACACGACGTAAAAATCTACCTGACCGTTACACCAACCTCCGACCCACCCCCATCCCAGTTGTTACGGACTCGATGAAGTGCAAATATACAAATTTCATAAGTCTGCATCTTTTCGGATTGTGCTTCAAAACTATACAAGACATTGTTTACGACAAAGTGATGACGGTGGCATGAGGATGACATGCACATTTCACGCCTATATTCTGCAAATCATGAAATCAACGAAAGAACTCCCACCAGACTGCTATTTTTTCTTCTTTGATAAACAGCATGTTCACGTTTGATTTGGTGCTTCTGTTCTGTGTCACCTTTACCTTTTCCTGCTGCTCTGGAATCCATCGTCTGTCCAAACGTTTGCGCTGCATGTCTACTGACCTTGATTAATCCCGTGACCCCGTGGGCAGGCTCTAATCTCCAGACTCATAAAACAAGACCCGCGTGAATTAAAATGGATGCAAGCGATTGACTTCGAAATCAACTATGGTGGTTTAGAGATACTAGACCCGTAATTAGCGTAAACAAGATAAAACCGTTACAGGCTGCACAGAAACCGAAAATTTCGGAACATTGTATGCTACAACTGAAAAGTAGACGGAAACCACACCAGATGCTTATTAATTATACATGTAGCTGTTTTTCCCTGACATTGCTCTATTTTTCTTTCTGCTGGTCATTATTAGACGGATTTGTTTGCCCTGTTTTCCCTACAAATATCTACATACAGATGCCTATGTGTTGTAGCTTATCTTGTTGAGAATTCAGGATTACAGTTTTTCCTCTTGAGTATTTGCTATTGAATTATTATGAATTAAGCCGCTCTGATATTTAAATCGCTATGTTTTTATGTGCTTGCACAATTTTTTGCCTCATTATTTACCCCTATCTATGACCGTTTTAAGATAGCGAGATTAAGATGCTACCTCGAAATCTTTCAGTTACGCTAGCATATTGAAATCCATTCTGGTGTTTCCATTCGAAGTGCGTTTGTACTAAATTTCAAAGGAAATGTGAGCATGATGTCCCGTAGCTTTGCAAGGAAATAACCCTCTTTTTACAGCAATAAAGCATGCTTGTATGTGTTCACATCGTAAAATAAATTAACAATGGCCAGGGATATGTAAACAAGCACCTGTGAACTAATTTGATGTCCAGCTCAGCAACCGTTCATGGCCCCGGTGACGGGCATGCACTGAGTGACCCCCTAACAACATGGGTAAGAGTCTGTACATGAGGTGAATGACTCTGAAGGTCGATATTGTTACCTGACCAAGGTATGGTAGATATATTCTTACATTATCATTGCCATTACAACTTCACTTCAAAGTCAGAAAGATTGGAATAATTATCTTGACTGAGAACCTGTGTTATTTGGGGATTTAACACGTCACAAGGAGCGCAGACGGAGCTTGTCCAACAGACGTTCTCACGGATAGAGTACGGCAAAAAGTACAAAATAATTCTAGGTCATTTCAGACAGATCTCTCACAACACAACTTGTTTTTTTATGTCTTGCAGAGTTTATTCAAATGTCCATGTCTTACCTCGGTTACAATGTTAAGATGCTGTATACAAGATATAGCAAGACGAAGTCAAATGCTCGAAAATTACAGGAGAAGAACCTGAAATTCGGGGTAAAATGTTCCCTTGAGTCGGGATCTATAGATCTGTGTGTCTTGGGAGTTTCGCGAAGATTTGGCGATGTGTATATAAACAAGAGAGCTGGTGTTTATCGTCTTAGTTAGTGTGATCTCTCCACGACTTGACCTGATTCTGGCAGACGGTCAGCATCAGCTGCGACCCTCGGCCAAAGCAACCCTTAATCCGCCATCTGATCAGCTTGATGCCATAGATCACACGAGTCGGTGGTTTATACACCGTCAGACAACACTTTCACGTGCTATGTGAATACGGTGCTCATATACCTCAAATTATGATTATGTAGTGAGAGAACACAGTGTAAAGGTTTTAAAGTTTTAATATACAATATTATAACAACAGTCAATTTTTTGTCATAACTTATTTTTTGACAACAACAATGTTTTTAAATAATAAAGCCCCTTGCCTTTTTACAAAGTATGCTGAGACACAATCTTTATCAAGTCGAGGGCATTTTGGCATTGAATACTGGCATCATATATAAAATACTACAATGTAGAAATAGGAGAAACGGTGTTTGGTTCCGACAGGTGTTGGGAGTGCAGCTCTGTCTTAATTATAATTGTCAATAAGATATTTGATCATAAATGCACACGCGATCTGAGTACCCCCGTCAAAAGACAATACAATACAGAGATATTGACAGACCGGGCAATCGCTGATCTGTGTAGCAATTTTGTAAATGAATTGCCCCATTCCAAAAGGTCCGTGAAAGAGGGGGAACAAAGCCTTTGATTTTGTATCAAAGGAATATATAATTAGATAATTGAAAAAAATGTCAAATTTGAAAAAAAATACACACAGATGTGTACTTCGTAAACTTTTGTACAAATTATACAAATGCTAACGATCTAGATCTATATTCACAATTATCTTTTTACAGGAGTTGATCAGTCTGCAGTTTGGCACTATTTAGAAAAAATAAATTCCTCTTAGACAATATCCTCTCTCTCTCTTTCTCTCTCTCTCTCTCTAAAACTTTTACATACATTTTACCCTTCAATATCAGTTTAACCACTCGCTGCACTCCAACAAATTGTCCAAATTTTCTTATTGCACTTTTGAAGTGACAATGAAGTGAGTGGAAACGGCTTAGAAAACATACGCCATCGCTAGAAAACATACGTCATCGCCCTGAGAGCACCACGTGAATTAAACCCACTAATCACAATTATCATATTGCAACATGTGAACATAAATGGGAGGACACAAGATTTTGAAGAAAATGATGAATGAGAAATGAGAGGATGCATTTCTTTCCCCGAAAGTGTATAAAGTGTAATGATATTCTAGTGTTTTGTGAGGCAATTCTTGCCATCACGTCACAGCTACTGCTCTTTAGAATCGTGACGTCACTTCCAGGTGACTGCTGCATATAGCTGCTTTGTAGACTAGCTGTGTATTTCCATATCATGGAAACTCAGATCTAAATCCTGTATGAAAGACTTCTTCCTTTCATGAAGGTCCTTTGTTATCTTGACGTTTCTTCCTTCTACATGTGTAATATTCACTCAATACAGAGTAGCAGTCGCGTTTTCTAAAGAGTCTCAGTTTTCGTAGAGTTGCACTAAAAAAATTCTTCATCACTTTCCTACAAAATTTGACGTAACTCCGTTTAGCTCCTTTCTTCTTCACTTTCTCGGAACAATCTTTCTTATCTGACTCTCTCTTTTTACAACTAAGATCAGAATTGGACGGCCTAGAACAATTTTCTTGAAGACTACGTAATTCTAAGTCAGTTCTTTCCACTAGAAATAGTGTTTCGTTTACATATTTCCTCCTGTCTTTCCTCATGCTAATTGTAACAGCCTTATTGCACACTAATGCTAACTGGTACCTTCGAACTGAATTCCCAACTCGGATTCCATGCTTTTTATGTCGGTACTTGGAATATTCCAGAACGCCCGGATTTGACCTGTTTCCAGTTTCTTTATAATCTATAGTCTCATTGAACACACAATCTTCTTCGTTAAAGTCATCCTTCTGGAATATAAGAAAATCAGATTTACTTTTCTTTTACTTTTTAATCTTAACTTCAGAAATGGTCTTATCATTTTGGCAAAATATATAGGAAACGTTTGAAAAATTACTGTTCAAAATTCAACTGTTAAATTTTATATATTTATTCATTTTTTTTTTGAGTTGTTTGTTTATATAGCCATATTATTCTCCATTAACCAAAATAAGAATGAACTTACCGGCAAACTGTAGATGATGCCATCAGGCGCGACACATAAAAATCTCTGGGCAGCAATCCCAAATACAGTGTTTCCCAGGTTATGAGACCCAGACTGAAGAAGTGCTGAAATAACAAGAAAATTGACATTAAACGAATCAAACCTTTTAAATGTTATACTTTTCTTTTATAAATATTAACCAAGATGGCAATGTTCTGGTTGTAGCATGCGGACAACAAGGAAGTGTCTGACCCTAAACCGTAAAAATTATATATCTATCTATCTATCTATCTATATATATATATATATATATATATATATATATATATATATATATATATATATATATATATATATATATATATGCAATTATATAATTATATGTTAGCGTGCGTGTTTGACATATCTAGAGATGGCTCTAATTGTAAAACGTAAAACAAAATCACTCGCGTGAAGCACTGTTGAATTAAGTAATTCAGATTAATAGATAATTAAATGCAAGAGGGATCAGTCGAGTCTGAGCGCACCTGTTGAGAGAAGAGATAACACACTTATCAATCTAAGTAATGTCTGCATCATGATGAATTATGAAAACAAAGATGATTAAAGCCCGTTGACTATTTCTCGGAGCATGACATAACGGATAAAATTAGTGAAAAAAAAAGACAAATAGCGCTCCTAAAGATTGAACAGAATTCCCAGCATTTTGGGGGAAGTATATACTGAATGATCAAAATATTGAATTCAAAAACTATAATTATATATACGGCCTGACGCCAATTAATCAAGATACAATGGAGTATGACTTTTAACTAATGACTTTGATCAGTCTTGACGGCTTAAGGACCGACTTTCCCACGTCCAGGGATTAATGAGATTAAATACTTAAATTTATTTCTTGTAAATCTCTCTCTCCCTCTCTCTTTTTCTCTCTCCAATACAAGTTTTAAGAATTACCCCTTTAAATTGATAGATATTTTTAAAGAACGGACTTTGCAATGTTCTCAGATATCGGAGTTTATTGTTCAGTAAGCGATTCCCTGCAATTGTCTGGGGGGAGATTCGTCGTAGACCAGCCTATATCGTACATACAACTATATACGTACTGCATTGACAAATATGCGGCAGGGTGTAGCGTTTCAAACCTCCATCGGATATTTTAAATACTAACATAGCTAACACACAAAGCCCCTAAAATGGTGCATCCCTGGAATGTGCTGTCAGTCTACCCCAAAGATACCACAAAATATAACAGTGGCCTGTAATTATAAATTAAATTGAATGGCGATTGTCATTTTCTGGATATTTATGGAGTACCTGGGGCAGGCAGTACCCCGAAAACATAAAGACACGGGGCTCATTGAACACGGAGACGAGGCGAGCCGCGACCACCATTAATTTTACAGCTGTATCAAACAAGATGTCCATGGTGATAAAGTACTCAATCACTTGTAAAACATGTAGGGTCATTCCTTTGTAAATTATGATACTTATTAGAAGTGATGTTTATTTGACACCTAGTTTATAACCCGTGACAATAAAGAAATACAAGAATATATCATTTTATAACCCGTGACCAAAAAAAGTGTACTGAAAAAGTTGATCGAGTGATTGGTGCAGTAACGCGATATCGGTATGGCATGTGACAAACAAGAGCAGCATGTGAAAAAATACAATTAATTAAGTTAACAGTTGAGTCAATTAGCCGCACTGAGTGACAATGATGAGCCTTATTAATAATAACTCATAAGCTATCGCGAGGAACAATGGGATCTAAGGAATTACACAATAATCATTAAATTAATAATTTTGACAACTTACTATATTTTGTATTATGTCCACAAGCTGTTCCTTGGACTGTACCGTCACTCAAGATTTCTAGAGCACGGTGACTTTTGGTTCGCAAAAACATCTTTTTTTGAGTGACGTCTTTTTGTCCCTGCACTGGAGTAATTCCGACAAAGCTGCGGGACTGATACTTCACTGGGGCCGTCGTTCCTTGTGAAACGAGGAGGAGCAAAACCGCAAAATACGTTAAAACATGCAAACAAAACTTCTTTGGATCCGTATATAAGTTAGAGTTCATTTCTTAAAACAACCCATATCACGCGCAGGAAAGGACAACTGACGATTTCCACACCTGCCCAATTCCGATTTACACTCATATCACTTTCTTAGAATAATTCTTCTTTTGTGGTGGATTCAGGTCTCTTCCCTTACTATATTTCCTGTAAGACACAAAAGTTTAATGTCACTAAATGTTTGTCGAAAAAAAATTGGCTACAAACCAAAATGCCTAGCCTGCAAATTTTGTTTTTATTCATTATATAGTTTAAACAGTGACAAGGTAAAAATTACGCTGGAATATTCATTCAATTGTAAAGGTATTTCAAGTATTAAACTTTATATATCTAAAATGATGGATCACAGACCAAAACTGCACAGAAATGTATATAGTCTCACAAAACAAAACTGCAAACAAATGGCATTCAAAGACATGAAGAAGGTGTAACTTTATATTTATATTATGACCGTGAAATCATCAATATAACTGAACCTAGCTAGTGGTTATATTTATTTTACACGAGCAAATTCATTTTACAAACACCAAACTTCTGCCGTCAGCTGACGAAGGTAAAATATTTGACCTATAGGTAGATATATAAACCAAGATAAAATAACTGCACGGTCTCTTGTATAAAACCGCCTACAAAAAGAAAAGTTATTAAGCAGTAATGGATGTGCATGACCCTCTTCAGTTTCTACACCCCTTTCTACTCGCTGACCATGCATGTGCCTGTTTCTTCGGAACTGAGCTTTCAATAAGAAAGTTCTCAAGCACTCAGAAACAAAAACCACTATCTAAGTTTTTTTAAATTATTTTTTTTACCCAATAAAAGTACATAGTAGTTCGGCATCCTCCGACTAGTTATTTCATTTCTTTAAAAAAAATATTTAATTTAATTGTAGGAAGTTTTTAAATAAATATAAGTTTGTTTGTTTAAGAATTCAGGGGGGAATGACGAAAAAACATATATTACCTAAGAAAAAAACATAATTCCGTTCAATTATAGCTAAAATCCATGATATATCAATAAAAGTTCCCGGAGTATGAAATTCCACATCCACTCGGCTCGTTCTATCATTACACACTGCTCTTAGTCCAAGATAGGAGTTGAGAGGCGCATGCGTGATCATTAAATATGGCGTCTACCAACTTGATCTTAAATTTCTGTAGATTTTTAAGACGTTTTACTCAAAAAAGAACCTTTTCAAATAGTGGTTCATTTTCAAATTTTTTTAAATACAACAGAGCTTCTATTGCTGGTTTGTCAACTGCGTGCGTTTTATCGTTCAGTGCATTTTACGTGAAACGGAATGGGATATTACATGTTGTTTATGCTGAAGGAGGGGTATGTTATTGAAAGTTTATTGTAATCTAGTGAAAATGTTTTGAAGTTTTTTTTAATGTACAAGGACGGAAAATAATAAAGTAAGTTGTGTTTTAATTTGCTGAAAGTAATCAGTCATACCTGTCGTTGGAACTGCAAGTGTCTTCAGTTTCTGTTGTTGACATTTTGTAGGCACTTGTCAACAGGCATACTGAAAATGAGAGAATATCTCAAGAACGTTGATTTTTCTACCTTCGAATGTATATTTGTGTATTATTGTTAATTTGAATATAAAAGTCATCTTGAAGACTGGCAATTCATTGACACAGTGAAAGCAGGTGACAATGCAAGGGAAGTAACTCTAGAGTTGTAACTGTACACCGCAACAAAGCAGATTTAAAGTCTTATTAGCAACCCAGACCCACTTCTTATAACAAAGTTTTATTCCAAAGTCTTCATTTTTAACAATGTCATTATCGGATCACAGGTCGTTTAAACAAAGACTTAAGCATGCCAGATAATCTGAGATGTCCAGGGATAAGTTTATCATATCAGTACCAAAGATTTCTCTGGTAGGACTATACATCCTTTTCAACAACTGTCATCACCCCTATTGTGAGAGAAGTAGATCTGAAAACTGGCATAATGATGTTGTTGATTTACAGAAAAGATCTTTTTGTTATGGCATGAATAGTGGGATACATTTGTCATCAGAATTTACAAATGTCTTAGGAATTAAGTTTTTTAATTTGAAAACATGAGGGGAAAAAAATCAGATTTAGAGTAAAAAAGATGAGTACCTTGACTCTGTAAGTTAGATAATCTAGACTTGTTTCAGCTATGTTTATTATCTCATTTTGATAAATGGGCTAGCAAAATCATTATCACTTAAAAATATATATGTAGGCAAGTGTAGCAGTCATTTTTATTGACTAAAGACACACAGTATATTAGAGTTAATACTGAGAAAATAATTTATGAAAATAATAGAGGGTTATGTGATTTCACTTTTGTCATTGCATGGTCTACATTTTATAAATATTTTGTAGGCTAGCAGAAATAAATGATGATAAATTTCTAAATCCATTTATATACATTTACTTTCATTGATAATTATATGTACAGCAAGGTTTTTTTTTAATGAAGGACACAAATATATTAGATTCATGTTTTCAAAATACCTTCTAGACCTAATATTTTCTATTGTCGAAAAGCATGAATCTGCAAAAGATATAAAACAATTTTACTGGGAATGTATTTGCAATTGTCATTTGTAAGAAGTTTTCATGTCTACAATCTGCATGTGAATTTCAACCTTCCCACAATTTTTTTGATATTTAATGAGATTTATTTTGATCAGGATAGGAATTCTTCCCCACAGGAACAAATTTCCTCTATTGTTACCTGTCTCCGTAATAATTTTAAATGTAGATTATTAGAATACTTTAAATTGTAGTATAGATTAATTTGTTTGCTGAATTAATAAGTTAACAGATAATCTTAGATCAAAGCAGCTCCTGGAGGCTGAAGACATTTTTTAAAACCAATTTGATTTGTGTAAGATTTTAAGGTTCTTTAAATGGATTACCAAAAGTCAAGAGGCTTTTACTTTTTGATTTTTCATGTGATTATTATGTTAAGGTGGACTGTAAGAAGTGCAAGTACTTTTTTGCTGACTTAAACAAAATGTTTCACATTGCATAATTTAGGACATTTAAAAGCTTGATATCTGTTCATTCAGATTTTTATTTCATTCACAAATCAGGTCTTGATTTAACGCTGTGTATTCCAGTAAGCTAACATTCAGATATATACCTATGTACTGATATACCCATAAGTATGGATTGGTGTGCAGTGATTTAATCACAAAATCAATATATCTTATCAACTTATCTCTTAAACAACTTTTTGGCTCTGTTACAATTTCTAAACATTAAAATATTTTTTCAAAAATAAGTGAAGAGGAAGATTGGTTTGTTCAAAAATATGTTCAGTATTTAAATCATCAATTTAATTGACATAATTCACAGCGGTGCAATTGGTACAATGTAAAGAGATATTACAGGAGAGCCATCTAAGAAAGCCACACACTAGTCCCTATAACTGATAAGGAATTGGCCAAATTATACACCACACACAATTTAATACTGTATATTTTTAAGTTTTTTCATTGAAGAAAATTTAAATGGCAAAGAATGTCTCTTTTGGTCTCTCCATCCTGTTAATTTTGAACAAAGAAATCAAATTTTTGTTTGACAAGTTCAATATTTTATGATATTGTGATGAGTGCTTAGTCACAATTTCACAAAAGAAGGAAAATTTGTCTCCATGTTTGATCAGCATCACTTACTTACAGATTATTTGAGGATTTATATCCACTCAGACTGGCTTTGCTACTGTCAACTTCCAACAATGTAAATTTTGCCCACAACTGTATACTAGGAACATAAACTTGTATAAAGTTCAAGTGTACATAACATTTTTTGCCTGGGTGTACATAATGGATGGACATGATACAGGCTGCTTAATATCTTATAAAGACAAGCTGACTTAATTCTCTGTGTTGGCCTAGCCAAGCCCAGAGAGGAGATATATCATCTGAATGAGAAAGCCAAACTGGAAAAAAAAAATCCCAGAAATATTATATTAAAATATGTATGGTGACAGACTGCATGCTTACTGTGAATTTTATGTTTACTGTAGGAGGAAGGGAAGGGGAAACATTCACCTACATACAGAGAGATGAGGTTTATGCAGTTTGCCTCTGTGGAATATAAAGGAATCACGTACATGACACCTCAAGACTTCCTAGAGTCTGTCACAGAGGAAATGCCACGACGTAGGTGTTCAGAGTGATGTATATCAATAAGTTTTTTTGTCATGCATAATTTTTTTTTAATCCCCCCCCCCCCCCAAAAAAAAAGAGGGAGCAGTTCATTTACATTGTACTTTAAAAGAAAGTGTGTACCGTACCTACTTTGCTGAACAAACTCTATTTATTTATTTTTAAGTACCAATGTATTTCAACTTTCATGGGTATGAATTGTTTAATAAATGGATGATTTACTTAAGCATGTCTGAACTTGGGTATCAGTAGCTTTCTTCGAGTCTGTATAAATATGGGGTGAATGTCTCCTCAGCAGATTTTTGACCAAACAGTTTACACAAAGACCCCTGCCATCATAACCACCGTCACACCCCCAACCACCCAGGATACCAGACAAAGACCTGTGCATCTTTTATCGCCCAGAACAAGGACAAATTATGACTAGACTCCACTTCAATAGAACTTACAAAACGCATTGTAGTAATTCATTTTAGGTGTTCATTGACTTTTCATTTTCATTATTAAAACTCAGCAATGCCGAAAACGTCCAACAACAATCGATCTCCTCATGAAATACAGTTCCTCACAATTACCAGTTAAACCTCCCAGTTTTGCTGAACTTTTGAAGTTCGAAAAATTGAGTACACTGTTGTAGGGAGAAAAAAGATCTTGACATATATAAGGTTAAAAAAGCATTACGTATATCTCCCATACACCATTGTTTGGTGAGTCAGTAGGACCCCAAAGTTTTTGTTATCTGGGAAATAACAGATAATCCCTATCTACTTCATCCATTCTTACAAGTCAAAATGAAAAACCCCCAACTATAAGACTCCGGTCTTGCAAAGGTATTATGAATGGACAGTTCTGTTATATGACAGTGTTATATTTAACACTATATTTATTAGGAAGTAAATTCTCCATTCATGATGCTCTAAATATGCAATGCCATTGGTCTTCTTTTTTTTTTTTTAAATACCAAGAATTAGACAGGCCTTGGGGGAAAAAAGTCATGAATGGACTTGTCTTTTTGTTCAAAAGAGAAAAAACTTCTTGCATTAAAAATGTTAAATAGCAAAGTTAAACTGAAATTCTACAGCTGATTTGTTTTCTTTTACAAGATTTTTTTTTAATTTATATCTTTAAAGCATTAAGATTCAGATAACATTCCTTCAGACATTGTCAACACAGTTCTTTGATTTTTTTTTTTTTTTAGCTAAAAATGAGTAAGAAATGAAGAATTTTTCTTGTTTAAGGAAGATTTAACATATTTTAAAAGATTTTTTAAGCAAAAATTAAAAAAGTTTACCATTTAAAGGGAACCTTTGAATTGTTCTTTTAGAAACATAAGGAAAGGTTTCTTGTACATTTGAGAAGATGAATCACCTTTCTTAACATAAAGAAGGGTAGAATTACAACTGCAAGTAATTTGAAATCAAATTTAATTGCAGTATGCGGGACTTCTTTTTATATACACCATGTATATAAACAGAATTCCTGCAAGACCAAGGAGGTGATATAGCAAAGCTAAGCATTTCTGCAGGAGTTGGAATTTCCCAATTGAACACCTACTCTAGAGACCCTTGCGGTTTACGTTGGCAGATATTTGCTCGAACCAATCCCAAAATTCAATGGGATTCTAGTAGAGTCTATACCTACATAATTCTTTTGTGTGTGTGTTTTCAACCTAGTTGCATTTTAAAAAGATAGGTATAAATTTTTTTTGTTTATTTTTTTAAAGTGAAAGCTGAAGTGCAGCTACAGTTTTCAATGGTTTAGTCGGTGTTGGAGCAATTATATTGATAAGAATTCCTAAAATTTAGTCTATTTGGTTTTCTGCAAAGTATCCTGTTCTCCTGTACTTATATAGGATTCCCCCCCCCCTCCAAAAGCAATTTTATTATTACAGGCATGGTGTTCCTTATTTTGAAATATTCAATGGGTTAACCACTTGTGATCTGATTGCTGATTGCAACATTCACTGATGTTATCAAGTTGATGTTTGGGTAGACTGGAGATAAATATTTCTTTCTACTGTTAACTTTTTTAATATGCACAATAAATGAACAAAAAAAAACATTACAATTCCACAAGTACAGCTACAGAATCCATCAGCAGGTCACTATGCATCTCTGTGAAGAGTTAAGAATGCTAGCAATGTCTCTTCATTGAGACGGAGTTATTTGTTTTGTCCTTTAAGGGGAAATATTTTTCTTAAGACAAGGTTAATGGTTTGCTTCATGTGTAAAAATCTGTGTTTTGAATGATGACTTGAAAGGAACCAGGAAAAGTTGGACATTGTTTATAAAGTCTGAACACTGTGTAAGACAAATGCTAGGAACTGCAGAAATAAGGCAAAGAAAGCAAGACGCAACTAGCTAGTTAAGGGAGAAAAGAGAAAAATTGACTTGTATGTACTGAACAGGAGACTGATATCAATAGACTTAGTCTGTTAAGGAATGCATGGGAAAGGAGAAAATTGAGTTTTATATATACTGAACAGCTAGAAACTAAAGGGATTAATCTTAATAGTCAGTTAAAGACTGCACAAGAAGGGAGAAAATTGACATGTATACAGTCCTTAATAGGAGACTAATGTGATTGTCCTAGTCAGTTAGTCAGTTAAGGACTGCATGAGAAAGAAGAGAAATGGCTTGTATGTTACTGAACAGCTAGAGACTATGTATAGTACTGAACAGCTAGAGATTAACTGTATATAGCACTGAACAGCTACAGTCTGTGTACAGTACTAAACAGCTCGAGACTGTATACAGTACTGAACAGCTAGAGACTGTCTGTACATGTATATAGCACTGAACAGCTAGAGACTTCTGTGTATAGTATTAAACAGCTAGAGAATGCTGTATATAGTATTGAACAGCTAGAGACTGTCTGTATATAGTATTAAACAGCTAGAGAATGCTGCATATAGAATTGAATAGCTAGAAACTGTTAGTATATAACACTGAACAGCTAGAGACTGTCTGTATATAGTACTGAACAGCTAGAGACTGTCTGTATATAGTATTAAACAGCTAGAGAATGCTGTATATATAGTATTGAATAGCTAAAAACTGTCTGTATATAACACTGAACAGCTAGAGACTGTCTGTATATAGTACTGAACAGCTAGAGACTGTCTGTATATAGTATTAAACAGCTAGAGAATGCTGTATATAGTATTGAATAGCTAGAAATTGTCTGTATATAACACTGAACAGCTAGAGACTGTCTGTACATGTATATAGCACTGAACAGCTAGAGACTGTACATGTATATAACACTGAACAGCTAGAGACTGTCTGTATATAGTACTGAACAGCTAGAGACTGTACATGTATATAACACAGTAACACTGAACAGCTAGAGACTGTCTGTACATGTATATAGCACTGAACAGCTAGAGACTGTCTGTACATGTATATAGCACTGAACAGCTAGACACTGTACATGTATATAGTACTGAACAGCTAGAGACTGTCTGTATATAGTATTAAACAGCTAGAGAATGCTGTATATAGTATTGAATAGCTAGAGACTGTCTGTATATAACACTGAACAGCTAGAGACTGTCTGTACATGTATATAGCACTGAACAGCTAGAGACTGTCTGTATATAACACTGAACAGCTAGAGACTGTCTGTACATGTATATAGCACTGAACAGCTAGAGACTGTCTGTATGTAACACTGAACAGCTAGAGACTGTCTGTATATAACACTGAATAGCTAGAGAATGCTGTATAAAGAGACCGTCCAGGGGACTTAATGATGACACCAGTACTGGTAAACTGTTGGTTCTGGTATTACAAAGTAATGGGAAAAAGATTTTGATTGAATGTTGCTTAAAGTAAAAAACAAAGCTACAACACCATTAGTTATGGGGGTCAGAATACATCAAGTAGAAGCTATGAAAGAGACAATACTGTACAGACGTATCTTCCAGTCAAGCTGTCAAGTAGATGAGTTCTTTACGTATTCATGTTTGTTTGTAGCAGTGGATATTGGAAGTAAGAGTAGAATGGTTGCTAGACATTTAAATACAGAAAAAGAAAACCTTACGATAAATAGTACTTGCATCTTTTTTTTTCATGAAATTAAATGTTTTAAAGCACCAGTGGCCTGCATGAAAAACCAGGTTAATTAAAGTTCATGAAAGAAATTTCATGTCTAAAATTTTAAGGTATTTATTTTCATAGATGTGCATTTAAAAAAAAAAATTCACAAATATTGAATTTTTCACTACAAGGACCAGTGACTTGAGACTCCAGAGATTTGAGCTTTTGTTCTGATTTTTTCTGGTAATTATTATAGTCCATGAAGAAGATATTTGGACACTTTAATTCCACGTTGGCCTTCAACCTTATGAAAGATATATGTTTCTGTAATAAATTCCAGTTGGAAGGGCACCACAGTGTCTGTAGAATTTACCTTCCAGGATCTTAGAAAATACCAAGGCTTTCATTTTGGGTGCTTTTATTGTTTAAAAGGTTACAAAAAGTGTAATTAGAACATTGAAAAATATAATTCTGGCTATTTGGAATGAAAAATGTATTTGGAATATCTGATGATAAATGGTATGGAATTATGAAAGCCATATTGTGGGATGGGATGTGTGTTACATTGCTTGTTTAATGTGTTCTGCAGATTACCAGTTATGATAACTTACCTACCTAATGTGTTCAAGTTTTTCTAAGCAGCTCTGTTAGTTTATTTCATGAAAGTTGGGAATTAAAAGATAGATATTTATTTATATTACAAAAAGTACAGTGTATTTTTTAAAATATTTATTTTGTCTTTAAAGGACTGTTGGAATTAATAAAATCTTTTGATATATAGAATATAAATTTTATTCGCCTTTCTCTCTGTATCTCCTTCTTTCTTTCTGGCATGAATTTTATATATTTTATTTTTATTTTATTTTTGATATTTTATGATTTCATGCATTTTATTACAAAGTGTACCATTAACATGTTGAATATCACATAAAGGTAAATTCTTGTCATTACCAGGTCCTTAGATTTATAAAGATAGGATAAACCATTGAACAAGAGAGATACCAAAAATCTACCCATTGATTGGGTGTTTGGTTGATCAAAAATAAATGCAAATGTTGTCATTTTGTTTAAAGAACATTTAGATTTTTGGAAGGCCTGTTTTCCCCCCTTTTCTATCTATGTAAATACAATCAAATCAGTTAGAAGGCTTTTACAGGCATTGTTGAAGATCAATCTCTTTTTTTTTAAGTTTAGTCAAGGAAATGTGTTGTCTCAAATATCTTTTTAAAATCCAGAACTTGTTTATTCTAAAGATGAACAGATTTTGACATTTTTGGATGATCATTGTGCACATTGTTTTTAGGCTAAGATTATATGTGGGTATCGTAACAAAGTGATATTAACTTTCACCAGTACTAGACTGTCACACAGAAGGACAACTTAGCATAGATCCTGAAAGTTTGTAGAAATTGAAACCTCTTCTCTTGTTTAAGGAAAATTGATAATTATCTGCTTGAAACATAAAACTCCTGAGAAAGTATTCAGTTTAAAATACAGATTTTGTTGTCAAATTAGAAAATTGAAAAAGGAAAACTGCAAAAATGACAAGGAACATGTAGAAAAATATAGCAAATCATTACTTGTAGCTGAAATTAACAATTACATGTATTTTTAGACTCTTCAGAAGATGGTTAATATGATAAACTAAAACAAATTCACCCCCCTCTTACCCAACCAAAGAAAAAAAAAATGAAAAAGTTTTTTGATATAATTATGGTCAAATTATTATTAAATTATTTCTTAATTTATTTTTGTACATGTGTAAATTCTATAAAACTATTATTCATTAGAGAGAAGACTTCCTTAAATAAGTACACAAACTAAAAGAAATGGACATTTAACAGCTCTTTAAATTCTTACGAAGATTACTAAATTCCAATTTAAAATAGATTTTTTTTTAAATATTGATATAGATTTGCACAAGTGTTGACCTTGCAACAGAGGCCCTAAGTGGAACAACCCTGTTGACTTAAAATCTGCTATTTCAGCACATAATTTTTTGGCTCATATATAAGTGGAATAAAAAACTTACAGGGAATACAGGAGAGATTTATGTCTGTATAAAACTATTTTCTGGATGGAGTACATTTTGACAAGAACTACAGTTGTTGTATTTTGGCTGAATAAAAGTTATTGTGAGGATATATGAACCCCCATCCTTGCCTGGCTTTGTATATTCAATGTATTTGAGAGCTATATGAATAATAATTAGCTTAATTGAGTGTGTAAAAATAAAAAAAGAAAGGAAAAAAAAAACGAAAAGGTACTTATATGTGTGCGCGTGCAAACTAAGATTTCTAGTTCCCCTTTTTTATTTGAGCTTTGTTTAGTATTCCCTCAGTATTCCGTCATGTTATAATGTCAATTTAACATGTTACTTGGACCTGGGGCAAGTTTAGACCTTTAATCTCCAAATAGTTTGAATTGCTTAAAAATCTTTCAATTTAAATTGGCATATATCATTGAATGTAAAAGCAAACACTTTTTTTCATACCTGACATGCCTTTGTTGTGTTAATAAGCAGATCAGGCTGTTTTGTTTGTTCTCTCTATAAAAAAGCTTTGGCCGAACTTTATAATATGTGCACACGTTTCGCGATAAAGTCAATAAATTGTAATAATGAAGGTAAATCTGGGCTTGATGTAAAGAGGTTATTGTGTTGCTGCAAGAGATATTATTGATAAGATAATGGGTCATCTTTTGATGTTGATTACACCTCGTTTGTAAAGTAAATCATAGAAGGTGCTTAATGGACTGTCATATAGATAGGTGCATGTCGTAAAGGTATAGATGTGCTGTAAACGTATAGATAACACAGGAAAGACTAGAGTCATTGGATTCTTCTTGGTTTATCAATATACAGTCGTTAAATAAAAAAAAAAAGATTTGTTTACAGAACTGTTGTGGTGTGTACAAAAAGTTTATATAAACAGATTCAGTATGTAGCAGTTAGATGGCATTCCTTTATGTGGCACCAGTCATTTGGACATGATTTCAATGATTTGTAACCAAAATGGTGTTCAAATAAAAATGGCCTAAAGATTTTTCACTACAAAACTGAAGATAGAAAGGACTGAGTAATTTATATCCATGAATGATATTTGTCAGAAGTGACCATGAGGAGCTTATACTTGAAGCTAAGATTTCATACATATACATATAGTATGTATATATGTCTTCTAGATGATCAGTTTCTGATCTTATGCTTTAGCTTTTTATTTCTTCTCAGCCAAGTACTCATAACTTTAAGAGGGTTGTCCCAAAATTCCATAGACTGAGCCCATATCTTTTACAAAAATGAATGTACCTCTGTAAAATTTTCTTGGTGGATGAAGTATGTTATTGGTTGGTAAATAATGAAGTTTTAACAAGATTGTTTGAAAACAATTCAGGTAATTACAATTGTAGTATTACCGTTCCTTAACACCCAGAGCAATCTCCGACGTCAGAAAATAACTTAATGTCACCAATTTTGATTGGGGTATATACACTTATTACAAGAATCAAATTCTTTAATTCAACATAAAGATTATAGAAATAATTGAAAAAAATATCTTAATTGCTATAATATGATATAACATTAGAAAATACAAACAAAGTATGCACATGTATATATATGTATCCAAAAATAACGATTTTAAAAGCCCTATGTCTCTAAGGGGGGTTTTCCTCTGTCTTCCCAAATAGAGTTGCAAAAATGTCACTTTGACAATGATTTCTTGTCCCTCTCTTCGGCTTGTCTCTTATTTACTTTTGCTTTTTCACATATTTGGAAAATTTTGATAAAATAAGGACCAGAATACGTTTCCATGTGTACCAGACATTTGTAACTTTTGCCTTTCTGTAGTGGTGAATTCAAGTTTGAACATTTGATCATGGTCCAGTGCGCCGCCTTTGTCAGCGCAACCCCCATTTTTCGACAAGTCAGATTTCAAACCGGTGCATATAAAACATTATGAAATATATATTAATCAAGTCATATGCCACAAATTGGAGGAAAGGTAGTTAACAATGCAATATCAATAATTTTTATATCTATTTTCAAAATTCTAAGTATTAAATACCTTTTCATAAAATTTTAAATAAAATATCATATGTCGATTTTTAATTATAATTTTGGGGTATTGCGCCGCCTTCTTACACCAGACACTGAAATATTGTACATGTATTTAAATAGGGTAATCTAACTTGTAATTGCTCAATATTTGTCCATAAATGTATAAGTTATTATTAGTTTTATGTATGTACAAAGTTTCATTTATGTATAACATCGGGTTCCTACAAAACCACTCTTGTCTACGGAATTTTGGGATAACCCTCGTAAAGCACAGATAAACATTTCTTAGATCTGCAATTATAATATGAGTTCTTGGAAAAAAACCTATAATTCACACACATTCCCACAACTGACTTATATAAATTGTTGATACATCAGTGATTTATAGAGTGCTTACATCCTGCAAAAAGTTGTCTTTAAACCTTTCATAAAACAATATATGATGGATTTATGTCATTAGATGTATATCAATGCAAACAATTTAGTTAACAAACTCAACACCTCGAAAAAAAAATTGCATAAATGTCATATTAGCGTGCTTAGAAATGAAGGCCGAGATATGAGGTTTTGTCCAAGTGGTATTCTGTTGAAAAGTAGATCTTGTGTTGCAACTGATATAGGTATATATAAGGATATAGATTTACTATTGCCCCTCCTCTCGGCGGGACATAAGCCATTGATGGGGCCATAGTATTAGATATATTATCACAGTGGATCTGGCCTTTGGTGAGCCCTTACAATCCAGAAGTACTGATTTAATTGTGTGTTAGCTGGCACAAGTCTGCTTCAACACCCATTGTATCGTGAGCACATTCGACAACTCTTAAAATGAAATGCAATCTTAGCTTTCGCAGGAGATTTTTTGCTCATACCGGCAGACAGACTGTTGATTGTTTGACCTTGAAATATTTCTGAAGCTTGATTATTGTCATATCAAATTAATAAGAAATTTCTGTTTGTATTTTCCTTGTCCATTTATTACAATGGGTGATGTCTCATCACAGGTAAATAATCTGAAATATGTTGCACATTCCCATGTACTATACATGCAAGCACAATAAATAAGTATTTTGTATGTATGTGCACTCTTGAATATTTCACTTTATCTCAAGTATTTGATGTCTAGGCAATTTTTTTTCTTATTGTAGAAATGTAATTTGAGTGCATGTTTTAGTCAGTATGACACAAAGAATTTTTTGTGTGAATGAATATTAAGTTCATTCCAATCCTCAAATTAAATATAGCAGAGAGGTTTTGATTAGAAGTCTGTGGAATTTGGATATTAAAATGAAAATCCACAAAGATTTTCTTTCTGCACAATTTTATCTCAATGCTTTTAACTTTATATGTGTAAAATGCAGTAAAGTATTGAATGCCCTGTGACAGTGAATGAAATTTTGATTGAAACATGCAGAGAGAGATAGAAATAATGATAATGATAAACAGTACTTTTTAAAAAAAAAAAAAAAATTAAGGTATGAGTTGAAAATTTTTTTTTTTTGCTTTTAATTTATTTGTTTTTGTTTTAGCAAGGATAGGAAGAGCCACCCTAACAGAGAGTGATGTTGAGAGCTGGTTGAAGCGAACCCCTAACAGGCGTTATGGCAGTACCAAACTATTTCGCAATCTTCATGACAAAGGTATGGGACTCCCACATGTAACGATCCTTGTACCAGTATGTGTATGTAAACTGTAGCTATAAATGTGGTAGGAGGTGGAATTTAAAGAACTTGTGACCTTGTAACACTCTTATGTCCATTTGCAGTTTTTTGGGGTAATTTGTGGCACAAATATTTACTTACTTACTTAAAGTATTTATTCAAATACCATGGAATAATGGGACTAAAATTTAGTTTATAAAAGTGAATCTTTAGGTTAGATAGTAAACTTTGATTTTCTTCTTTTTTGCCTGACGTAGTAAACAATTGTTGAAACTTTTACGCATTTGGAAGAGTTTTGTGTGTATTTTTTGTAAACTTGAATAAATTGTAAAAATTCTAGCTAATTGTGCAGCAAAACATGTTTTATCAGTTAATATGCAGACCCTAGAGCTTTCCCTAATTTCTTATCAGGTTCATTAGGAAGATTGGTCTTTTGAACTTGTTAAATTCTTCATTTAATTATCTCTAAACAAAATTTTTAAAAGTTTACAGTAAAAGAAACATTGCTGCAAAGAAGGGAACTGGTAATCTCCAGGACCAAGTTAAATACTTTGTAGTTGCAGCAGAGTTCATGGTAATCTGAAGAGATCATTAGCACAATTTTTACTAGAAAGATAATGTACTCACTCTCTCCAGGCAGGTGTCCTTAGATCATATGCTCATTAACAAAAGTCTCTTGCTTTTCTCTTTAACTCCTATGAACTTGTGTGATTAGCAACTATCAGATTCTGTAATAAGAAATTTTGTATTGGTTGTATTTATATGAGATGATGGCATGATTTTGATGGACTTTCCAGACAACAGTTTTACAGTCGCAATTACTGAAGCTGTAATCGTATAATGTTTGTGTAATAGAATTGATTTCTACCCAGTGTGTCTCGTTACAACAGGCCGAGCTCAGAGTGGTCCATTTTACTGAGTTATTGAGTGTTGACTTTCAACAGTCTCCCCCACACACTGATGTCTTATTCATCACTTTTCACAACCCACCCCCATCTGTTGATCTATGTCTCATCAGCTGTGTGAATCACCCCAGAGATCTGACTGAGGACTGATTCCAAGTCGAAAACTTCCAAATTCAATTAACGGACAGGTCATAGCTGTCTTTTTGGCTGGTTAAAGGGTCACTTTATTGCTTTAATACATTACTTTTTCCCCTAGCCATGAGAGATGGCCTTGAAACTGTTTGTTGCTCTTTATGTTATCACTGATATTGGTTAATGGAGAATTTGGCAAACTGTCTGATGTCCGCAGAAGTTATGAAGAAGTTAAACTGATACTTTACCAAGGAAAAAATCATTCTGAGACAAGACAATTGCTAATATTGGTATCAAAAAGGAATTAAACCCTCAAAGAAAATAACCAGCTGATGTTTTAAGGTGTTAAATTTAGGATAACATAGCCAATTGATTCAGAAATGTATGTTCTAACTGCATTACTGTTGTTAAACAACTCAGTGAGGGGTCAGTTTATATCTGCTAGAGGCCCTGGAGGCAAGGCCACTTCACTGACCGAGATTCCCTAACCCAACTTCTAGCACATTAGACGTTAGAACATCCAGGGATCTAAGTTTACAAGCTTGACTCCCCACCTCTGCATTCTATCTCCCCCTGAAACCCACTACTAAACCAACAAGATATTTAAATCAAAATTAAAATCCTTTAACCTAGTTTCAAATTGCTTGAAAAAATGTATCTTAATTAACATCATTTGTATTATATCAGTGAACACAAATAAGTTCTTTGATCAAAGAATACCCAATCCCCTCCCTTCTGAAGGTCAAAGTAAAATATTCATATAAGCACTAGCTATACTATTTATTACACACTATTGTTTCATACAGTGTGAAACATATGATTATAATGTTTCCTTGTTGTACATGTTTATAATAAATAAATTACATGTTTGCTGACTGAATAGAGGGACCACTTCAATCTGTAATTTTAAGATCTTATCATCAAATGAAAAAAAAATCCTTCCTAATTCAAAATATCAAGAAATTACAACTGAAAGTTGTAAGAATATATAACTCACTCCTTGTTGTTACAAGCTGAAGATTTTAAACAGGTTTTTTTTACAATTTACCCCACTGGTCTGACAAATTGTATCCAAACTTCTTTGTTGGTAACAGTACAGTTTTAAAGGAATGTTTGTAATTGCATTTAATTGTCTCTGATAGAAGTAAGATAAAAATATGTTTGTTAATTTGTAGGAACTTGTTTACAGATAGCACAATCAGGGACTAGGTGTGAAGGGTTGAACTGCTCAACATCCTTATCGGACCACTGATAGCCTTTTTGCTTACTTTAGTTTTTTTTTATCATCAGAGTCTTTGATGATGATACACCTATCAAGGTATACGTAAGGGAATGTGACCTTTGATTTTCTTACCTGATGTCACATATTGAAAGACGGTCATTCATTCAGGAGTCCATAAACAAACAGACTGACGAGGCTTGTAAATCAGAGAGTGTAGCTCTACTGACAAAGGTCAGACTAGAAGTCAAACTCTAAAGTACATGAGGTTGTTAGAAAAGTTGTGGTGACATAAGTAAGTAGGCTTTTAATCCCAAACAGAATTGTTTAACCATTAAGTTACCTGCTTTTTTCAGGTGACAGAGAATATGCAGTAGAGCAGGACTTTCCATTGAAAATAAGTTTGTTAAGAGCACATTTTTACTTTTCATTCATCAATCAAAATTCTCAAAAACTACAACTTTCAGTCCATTGAGAGGATTGGAGGCATAATAAAAAATGCTTTTTCAGCATTTTGCCATCAATTTTATTATTTGATGTAATTTCAGTCATGATGTCAATGAGTAGGTGAGGACAGTACATTATCACATAACAGATAGGTCTTCTATCCAATGATGGGAGCTTTTAATCCCCAAACCTAGTAAACTGTCTATCCTACGTGATCGAGTTGCATTTACTTATACTTGTTAATATCTACATGATCGAGTTGCTTTTAACATAAAATATTGATTCAATGTAGACTTATTAATATTTCTATTCCAAGAAATTTAATGAATATTTGATTTGTAAAAAAAAAAAAAAATCTACGGTAAATATTTATGGAAGTAAACTGTTAGCTGATTTAAACAGATTGACTGTCTCTCATCTACTATTACAAAAGTGTGTGCTAACCATAACTCAAAATGGATAGTTCCAGAACAACATAAAGTAATTCAAGTGTCAAAGTAATTCAATTATAAACAATTTTCCTGAAAAATGTGTGTTCCAGTCTGAGCCACCCAAGTAGACTGAAAAAGAGAGAGTAGGGTTTGTCTGTTATCCAAGTGTTGTGGCTAGAATTCCCCCTGTAAGTTTAGATAAGTTGCTTAATATATTTATATATCTTCCATTTGTCCAAGTACACATCAAAGGATCCGAGGGCAGGTAGGTTATTGCCAGATTTATGGGATTTCTGTTGCACATGGAAGTCATTAACAGGTTGCAGGAACCCCAAATATATAAACAGATTTATGTAGAATGTAGACTTAACACAATATATGTATTATAATAATAATTGTATACAGTTCAGAGTACAGTGTTTTATAAACCATACCGAAAAGGTAATGCATATTTTTTTTTATTTCACTCATAAATACCCCCGGTAGCATATTCTGATATAAAGCTAATTTAATTTTACAATTATGAATTAAAGCAAAAGTATACATTAACATGAACCAATATTTTTCTCTGAATTTTTTAAATATTAGAAATGCATTGAAAATAAATCAAATCTTTAAGAAAAAGTATCTGAGACATACCTACCTTCTTGAATATTTAGATCCAAGTAAAAAAAAAAATGGTTTGTGAATGCTTTGTGACCAGATAAGTATTGGGTAGGTGGTGACAGGTGACTCATTAATATCACAGCAACTAGTTAGGATGACCACCCTAATCTGTGAAAAATCCCACCCTGTATAATCAGTCCCACATTCTATTAAAAACAGGCTGATAATCCACAGATAATCTACATTTTTGTTGATTGTGAAAGAATAGATTGTTTTTGTTTGGGGGAGTTAAAGCTGTGAGACTGGTATTATTTACCTGTGTAAGAGCTGTCTGTATTTCTAAGCTGGTGCCCTCAATTGTTGATAAGCAATTAGAGTGATCTAACAATCACAGTGGTCTTTTGACTAGGATGCTAATTGACATTTAATTAAAATGATAGGCATGTTGTTGTTTGTTTCTTAATAGGCTTTATCATTGTGTGGATATCAGTCTTATTGTCCACAGAAAGAAAAATATTTCCTACTTAATAGAATTCAAACTTTTTTACATTCCGTGTCAAATTCTTGGAAAGTTTATTTTAGACTTTATATGCCTGTTTTTGTTGTAGAGTACACTGCCAAATATAATTGCTACATTGCATTAGTTTCATAAAGTCTTGCATAATATGCTTAGTTTATTTATGATGATTGATTATGCATTTATAAATTATCCACAATAGATGATGTTTTTTTTGCCCTCTAGATTGATTGTTGGATTTCTAATCAGATCTGTGACAGATACATCAACAAGTATTGTCAAAAAAAGTTAATTGATAAGTTTTCAAAACTATTAAAAATAGTAAATATGTATTTTTATGCTTTTTGGTGACATTTACAATAATTATATCATATAGTTTGGAAAATAAAAATTCACTCTGAATGAGACATGTTTCTCAACAAGTTTTTTTCTGCTGAAATTGATGAGATTATTGGCCAGATGGGTGTATTTAGTGCTTGGAAAATGAGATGCAGCACCAATGATATTGAACGTGTGCACATGTAAAATAGCCATTGTCACCTTCCAAGGGATAATTCTTTGTTAACATAAACGCCACGTGGCCACTTTGTCTGGCATCTGTTGAGGTCAGAAGCTTTTAGTTTACACCAAACACCAGTGATCTTAAGCTATAGCTTTTTCTGTGCCCAAAGTCATTCAAAACTTGATTCATGCTTCAGGTGTAATTAAAGTAATATGTCTTGAAGAAAAAAAAAACTAGGTTTATAATTAAAGTTTGTTTTCAGGTACAAAACCAAGCTTAATGCACAATTAAGAATTAAAAAAAAATGCAAAGATAAAAGATTTTGCAGGTGTAATTCCTTTTTCTTTGATTTATGTGAATCTGTATTAAAATATAAATAGGATTTTTATGAATATTTACTTCTTGGATGATGTGATTACTTTCAATTAAAAGAAAAAAGATAAAAGTGACTTAAAGACCAACCCATCCTGATATAAATAAACCCAGCCCTAATCATCAGAGTGCAAACTTAAGAATAGCTTTCTAATCAGTCTAAATTGAAACAAGACCCTATATTGTTTATTCGCTTGCCCCTGTCTACACTTGATAGCAGACAGATAAAAGGAATTTCACTGTTTTTAAACTCACATCAGTGTTTTAAATCCACTGTAATTAATTTTCATTCTTGAGAGTTGGAAGTTGTGGAATTCTGTGGTAGGTATTGGCTACAGAATAGCCAGAAATGGGGGTCAATGACTAATGGCTAGCATTACTAGTGACTGGTTCTCTACCCAGGGTGGACTTAGTCAATGAGATCTTCACATCCTCAATAATAGAAACAGTTTACCACTGCAGGAATCCACTGCTGAGGGCTAGTTAATCAGATTTTAGTGGTAGAAGAATGATATTTAACTGAGCTAAACTTTTATATGAGTGATTGTAGGGAGATGATGGAGGTAATCCGCATATTCCTTGATGTCCAGTTAAAATCAATTATCCTCCCACTTTCTCTGTCAACATAATGGCCTCGGCCCACTGGACCACTGATGGGGGGTCCCTCACCTATTGTCTCAGGTGAAGTCATCCTGAGCCCCCACCATTCACCTGTTGCCAGATCATACTTTGATGTTGGAGAAGTTGGCCATTTGCACACAGGTAGCTATTATTAGCTGGATGGATGGTTAAATGATGCTCTCACTTATCTTTCAGAGGACTAAGGTGAAAAAAAAATCTGCATCTTAATAATTTGTGTTGTACTGACTTGCTTGGAAAGGTCAACATTTACTTTGATCCATTGTAAAGCACTCTTGCATTTCTGTACTTAGATAGGACATATTTGTCTACTGATCTGGCTGTTTGATCAGTCAGCCAAAGAGAATTCATTTCAAGGAAGTGAGCCAAGATTTTTTTTATCTTAGTAAATAGACAGGTTTTAATCATTGGGACCATAGATGCTTCATGACCGTAGATGCATGACCATATGAATTTTTTCCCCTATGTATTGTTAAGACTTCTGGCAAAAAGTCTGTTGTTCTTTGGCAATTGCAATTCATTATGGATCAAAAACTTGTTTTAATAAGTTTTAAGGTCCACTGCTGTGGATGTAGAAAATGTCTCTTAATGATGAATGTATATAGAGAAACAAGATTTTCTCAACACCCACTTTTGTTAATCCTTGCCAACATTACTCGCACAAGATCAATTTCTAAAACAACTTACAAACTATATGTATCAAGTTGTTTTTGTGAAGTTAACAAAAAAGATAAGCTTTTGCTTTATAATCAGATTATCTAGATAGCATAATACAGTTATCTTGACATGACCTAGCTTGTCAGTGTAATGGTTTTGACTAAGCCAATAGCTGAATCTTTATTGTTCTGTTGCAGGTCTCATCTCATATACTGAGTACTTGTTCCTGCTATGTGTCCTTACAAGTAAGTAGTCCTAAGGTCCTAAGTTACAAGTAAGTAGTCCTAAGTTACAAGTAAGTAGTCCTAAGTTACAATTAAGTCACTTATTGATCAACAACAGTGAAAGTGTGTTATAATCCAATCCAAGATCATACCTTTTTAGTTTCTAGATTTAATGCCATCGGCAACCTGGATATTGAGGTGAATAAAGTGTAGAAAACATAAGAAGTGCTTGTACAATACTAAATGACTGTTAACCATCAGTTTGTGGGTCTTTCTGTAAGCCAAAATAGGTATTTGAAGCAAATTGGGGCCATTGGCCAAAATTTAAATGCATCACATGATACAACTGCCAGTAATTAAATCCATGGTTATATTTTCATAATGAAGTCACATGATGTCAGTAGGTGTGGCTAAAATATATTTTAAGATGTAAAGTAAGAAGAGAAAATTGAATATTAAGAATTAAAAGTTTAAGAATATAAATATAGAATGAGTGTCTGTATTTGATTGGAGGAGAATAACCATTCAGAGCATGTGATAATTTTTGCATAAATGGCTTTGCTACTTATGTAAATTGTCACATGGTCTGTGACTGCATGGTTATCACCTCATAAACACTGAAAATCAGACACTTTTTCCTGAAATAGCATCCAGTTGGTCAAAGTGTACCGGTATGTTTTAAAGTAACTTTTCTTTTATTTAGTCATATTTTAGGTATTCTTATAATGTATCTTGGTAAGGGAACATTTAATAAAGAATACTCCGAAGCAATTTTAAAATTTCTTCAATTTACATTATCAAATTTTCAGAATTATGAATTCATAGATACTTTGAAGGGGGAAAAAATTTGAAAGTAGTAATTATACTGACAGGTGTGAAATCTTCATGCAGCAGAAGCAATGCCACATAAAGATATTAGATTTCAAAAATATTCCATGTGTAACATATAATTTAGATGTCAAAAATGTCCACATAAGGCCAGTGCATTAGTGATTCAAACTGGCATGAAGATTTTTACAAACAGTTTATGAGAGAGAAGAAAACCTAGGTGGATGCTATTAATCTGAAAAATCAAAATGAAGGACCAGTGTCACTTGAACATATTTCATTTAGAATGAATGTCCACACAGGTTTGATTAATTTTTGTAACTTTACATTATTAGGGGAATGTTATCATGGTTATAGCCCTTTGAAATGAGGATTTTTTTCCTTTTCTGATCTCAAATTTTTTGATGTTTCAAGTGCATATGTAAATTTTACATGATTGAAGAACCAGAGGATGGTGAAGTTTTGTCCCACTAGTAGCATCATTGTATAGAGAAAAATGACAAAAATTGAACCACTAAATATTTGGCAACAATGCTTAGGGGATTTAGAGATCAAACATGGCTGCACACGCGTTAGAATTCAGCCTGCTATTGTGATAGTGGCCGGTGATTAATTAACTGGTCCGCCTAAACAAGGTTTGTAATGGTGGTGTTTATGTATGGAGAGCAGGTGAAAAATGGCCATCTGTTTTAGGAATGGGCTCATCCCACCCAAGTTTGAGTTTCTTCCTTTCTGTCCCACACGCCTGTCTAGCAGGGGTCAGGTATTGTTAGGAGAAAGCAGCATATGGCCCTTGCATTCCGTGCTTTTATACCTCAGCCTTACATCAAGTGGCCACATTTTATGCAAATAGAAGCCACCTGATTGTTGGAATTTTAATCATATTAGAAATTATAGCATAGATGATGTGTTTTTGAGATTAAATGTTTTTTAATCTCATTTTATGTCATGCCAGCAAATTGAGTTGTTTAAATGAGTCTATTGACGTGTCTGTTTATGAAGGGAAGGATGGGTTGATCGATGATAAAATACAACTGGAGCTAGCTGATTCTTTAGTCAGAAAGAAAATTGTAACTGATATGAAATTAATCCCAATATTAAATGAATGGTTATTTTAAAATTGGAAGTGTTATCAGCTGATTGACAAGTCTGAAATGCCAATCTGTTTAAAAATGTAGGCAAGGGAGAGCAAAAAAGTACAACATAAGGAAACAAATCCATGCACAAATTAAGAACTTCTTTCCACTTCCCTTCTGATTGGTTTAGGCAATGGTCTTTCAGTTCTCTTTAGCCATGTTTACCTGAGTGTTTGGAATAGAGGAACTGGTCACTGATTCAGAGGGACAGGTGCAAGAGTGTGTCCTTAACCCAGGACAAAGGTCAACTGACCAGTCCTGGAATGCAGAGGAACAGATGGAGGAGAGTTTGAGTGGTCAGCTCTGGTTACAGATACACAGTCACAGAGACAAACACTTCAACTCAGCATCTATATTGTTCTCATGGGATGATAATATTGAAGATGATTGTGTTAAAGATGGCCTTTAATTAGTCTAAATAGTCATGTTTTCAGTATACTGGAATATCACATTTTTTGACCACATGATGATATCAGAATAGGTTATAAAAGGCTTCTTTGTTGAAAATTCACATTTAATTCTAGCTAAGTTAAGACTGTAAGAAAGATATTGTACGAGGGGTGATCAAAAAGTTCAAGAACTATCTCTATATTTACAAACTCAGAATTCAGATCAGAATGAAATTTGGCACACATATAGTCATATATGTTCTATAAATAGCAGATGTTATCTAATGTTTTTCACCATGTTTGTGACGTCACAATGTGAAAATGACGTCAATATGTAGGCGACTTGTGACAAAAATGATTGAGTCAGTTGTACTCGAGCAAAGAACGGTTGTAAAGTTTAACGTGTATCTTGGAAATTCCTTTGCAGTAGCATATTATAATTTGTACAAGGTTTATGAAGACAAAAGACTTGCCAGAAGTTCAATCATTAATTGGATTGATTGTTTTAGTGAAGGAAGGGAGATGGTTATAAAAATGATGTTTGTTCTGTTGCCCAGTGAAAGCAAGCTGGGGAAGAGATCTGCCCTTAGTTGAGCAATTTGTTATGAAAGATCGCCAAGTTACAGATAGAAAAATAGTTGAATATCTTGACAATAATATAATTATTAAATCTCTAAAATACGTTTACTCTAGATTTAAACATATCAGATATGATAAAAAGAAGGCGCCCATACTTTATCCACATTGGATAAACGACGCTCCCAAGACAGAGGACTCAGGTTGTGATGGTCATCATGCTCATTCTGGGAAAGAATGCCCTTATCCACCCATCCTATTGCTTAGATTTGGCTATTTATGTCAAATGGGCTGTTCTTGTTATAAAAAATAACTTGGATGGAAAGAAATATAAGACTCTGAAAAATCTTTAAGCTTCTGTGAACAGAACGCTACGGAGCATGTCACGTGACCGCCTGTATCACGTGATTCGCGTATGGGCAGATGTGCATTTAAATCGGAGAGGTCTACGATAAAAAATAATGAACACTGAAACCTTATTTCATTTCTTTTATGGAAGTAATTCAATTAGTTCGCAAACTTTTTGATCACCCCTCGTATATCAGCAGTTCCATATATTTCTTTTTGTGTTTGTTAATAACTTGGGTTAATGACAGGTTATGTTATCAAGTACAATGTCATTTATTTGCCACAAGTCAAAATTTGTTAAATATGGAGTTGTAAAGAGGTTATATCTACATCAGCATCATTTTCGATTTCATTAGAAAGTATCAGACAGCGTCATAGAAAAACCTAGTCTGAGGTTTAATCCTGCCTGCAAGTTGGTTAAAAATCTAGTGAATTAACACTAGTAAATTTTGAATTATCCCCCATTGTTCTCCTGTGATGGTCATTGTCAACTTTGTCATTTTTTTCTCAATATTTAATATGAATTTTAACAAAAACACGCCATGTTCGAAACACTTTTAGACTGCCTTAAAAATATAGGAGTACCTGATTATAACTACATATGACTGACTTAGTCTATGTAAACTTTCTCCCAAATGGCAGTTTTTCTATTAGTATGCATAAAAATACATGTAATGCACAAACGTTGACTTTCAGTTTTACTTCACAGAAATTTTTGTCGCTTATTTGTTACATTTTTTTTTCATCAGTATACTAACACAAAATATTATGATGTCATGATGTCACAAAAATACAAAGTGACATCACAATATATGAGTATTTTCCTGCTCTATTCAAAGATATTTAAATCAATAACTTCTATTAAGTGGTTAATATTTTATCAAAACATATTCAGAACTTTTCAAATGCCCCTTTCATTTCAGAGCACACACATAGACTCTCTAAAATAGACATAGACAAACTTGTTAATTAAGAAAATAATTAATTTTGTTCAACAGTAAATTTCTTTTACCGTATATAAGGTAATTATGGTATGTGGTATCATGACCTGAATAACTAGGTGTTCGAATTTTTTCACCTGAACCTATTTTTAGACATGACACAACTATGTCTTTGAATGAATGTCAATCTCTTTGCAAGATTTTCTTTTTTCAGCTCCTAGGTCTGGTAATGTATTAATGTGTATAAAATCTTGTGAAAGAATTTTATTTTTTTATTGTATTACTCTCAATATAAAATAATTATCTTTTATATTAAACATTTAAATCGATTAACTGCATTCTTTGTATTGAAAATATGAGGTCAAATAACCTTTTGTACCACGTCCTACACATTCTTCTGTATGCAGTGTATAAAGAACATAAAGGGAATATTTTCACTGTACAAATTAAAGCTATATATAATTATAATGAATCAGTTAAATATTTTCCTTTACAAATTAAGTCAAAGCACATAAATTAACCTGCAAAGCTGACAAGGCCGTAGTATCTAATTTTCATGGATTTTTCTATTTCAATGTGTGGTTGGAAATTCCTGCTCAAGAATTCTGCTGACTCTTAGGACTTTGTATTCAAGGAAAAAGAATATTAAAAATATAGCAGTAGTATTTATTTAATTTGTTGAAAATTTTAATTGACACATATTACGCAGTTTCTGAAAGAATGGAATCGCATCAAAACTCAGAGATTTTAAAACAGCTACCAAATCTAAAACACTGTTGCATCATACCATGTGTATATTAAGTGAAACAAATGAAATATTTTTAATTTTTTTGGTGAATGAATTTTAATTATTTTTTAAATGTCAAGTGGAGGAGCTAAATTTAAGACATCCTGTAGTTATTCCACAGTGATTGACTGATCATCATCATAAACTTCCACATCAAGCCAGACGATGCTTCCAAGGCAGCTGTGTCTGAAGTTTGATCCATGTACGATTTTAGAGTGCAATCACTTGTTATGTAGGGCAACTGTTTTGATTATAAGGTGGTGTATTTTTGGATGGGCCTAGAGATAAAGGAGGATTCTTTTTCATAAGTGAATAGATTCAGCCAAGGTACATACATGCATCCATAAAAATTAAGTAATGGGAAATGAGGAAATCAAAATTAATACAGAGCACTTAGTACAGCTGTGGTGAGCAACATGGAATTAATGAAAATAAGTGGCAAGATAGGAGGAAACTTTTTAATTTTATTTTTCCAATCCAGTTAATGTATATTGAGAATTGATTTATAAAAATAAAGGTTTTTTTTCAGTAAATTGTCTTGTCAATGAAGTGCTCAATTAATGTAAATTGAGAACTGATTTTTTTTTTTTTTTTTTTTTTTTAGGTTTTGTAAGTAAATTGTCTGTAACATTAGGTTTAATTTGACCTTGGGTGAAATCTTACATTGAGTAGGACTGTTTACTCTGATTTTGTGTCCCTTTCTCCACCGTGAGTCATCGGCCGGCCTCTGATGATACAAGAATACTTATCTTTGTCAAACTTGTCATTTATCCTTAATATTAAAGCCTTGTTGGACACTTGGCCAGAATCCAAACCTTTACATATTTGAGGTGGAAATTCCTTTCGATTTGAATTTCATTAATGCTTTTATTATCAAAGACACGGACAGAATTTGTATTCATCCTAACAATATGAGATTGGCAAACAGGAATGAGACTTGTGTATGAAAATGATCCACCTATAATACATACCTATCTATTGGTAGGAATTATTGTGTAAGAATGCATATCTTCTTAAAAAAATTGAGATGAAAGTGACCTTTCATCAGATCTAAATTTACCAGATCTTTTAAATAAATAAGTAAACAAGTTAATCATAAGGCTGCTGTAACACCTTTATGGTATTGATTCAGTCCCGTTCTTATTGTCACACAGTGTTTTATGAATGAAATATTCCAAGAGATGACGACATCTAGATAGCATCAGCTTAGATTACAATCATTAACATCAAATAATTTACACCTGGAAGACCTATAGCTACCTGGTGGAAAACCCCACTAAAGTCAAAGGTCATGTTCTTGCTACATCTCTGTCATCACCATTCTCAGGATAGGAACCGCCTGATCACAAAACACAAGGTTTATCAAGGGAACTATCCAGGTCAATGCCACACAACCAGGCAGAAATTTTAATTGCTAATTAGTTGCAGACAATTAATTTCTATACAGATGCTTTACGTGCTTAACAATCATGCAGGTCAATTTTGGTAGGGCTGTGAATAGGCGATATTATCATCAGGATTTAATTGCTGTGAAAGGTATGACAGAATCATACTAAACTTGTTACACTGATGCTGACAGGACAGAATAGGGCACAATAAAATCTGATTGTTACAGGGCTTGGGAACTAGGTCAGCTTATTGGCACACCCTTTAAAATGTCCATTCACAGAGAGACTGACAGACAGGGTTGTTCAGTACAATAAGCTCTGTATAACAATGAGCATTGAGGTTTAGAAGAGGGAAGATTTGAACTCATTCTGTGTAAGAGAAATTTGAAAATGCACCAATTCTGAAGAATTTTATGAATGTTGTATTTTGAATTGACCTTGGGTATTGAGAACTTCATGATTGGTACATTATATAAAAATGAGATAAGACCTGTGTGAAATTAGCAGAAAAAAGTGCTCTTGAAATTCAGTTTGATTTTGAAGATATTTTGGTTTGTTTGACATAGATCTAGTTAATCAGCCTTCATGAGGACATCATTAACAAGCTTAAAGATCCTGTAATAACAACAGCCAGTGGTAAGAGGCTGCTTTCAGGGTGATTTATCAGGCATAGAACAGGTGCTTCTGTGGATTCTCCAATCCAGACTAAGATCATGTTCAGAAGGTCACAAATTGTACTCACAAATAACTCCAAACTGTAACGATTTACTGAAACCAGGCTCTCCCTCCCAGGAAAAAAGGCAACAAGTTTTCATCATGGTGACTGCACTAAAGTAGATAAGAGTTTCTAATATGTTAGAATTATATGTAAGAAAAGGAGAGAATATGAGCCCACATTTGAAAAATGATTGAGGTATGAACATGATAAACATAAGTGAAAGTGCCTAAGATTTAAATGTATGATTTACCTGGCTGTTTTGCTCAAATACAACATTCCTAGCTGCACACAGCTGTAGTGCACCTTAAGGTCCTATTTTATGTCTCAGCTCTATAAATAGATCTAAGGAAAGTCCATAATATATTGACATAGATAAGGCATAATACCTATGTGTTGTGCAATTCTTTAGAAGGAAGTGTAATAGCACAAGTGTCACCCAGAAGCTTCCAAGACACACCTTTATAGTTACTATATTGTTCTGCATTAAATAGCACAGCATGATGTGTTTTCCTTAATTAATTATCTTTATACACTGGCAGGGATCGACATTAACGGTTGTCCGATTGCCCGGGGCAAGTAAATTCTCAGTTCGGGCAAGTGAAACTGCTGATGTACTTGTCCAATCGGGCAAGTGGATATTTCTGATAGATTTTTTTTTTTTATCTTACATTAGTTTATAAACAAAACAATAAATAGAACATTTTATTTCTACCAGGAATATGATATTGTTTTTGCATTCGGAAATTCCTAGATCATACCGTTTATCAAAAAATCGGGTTTGTTATTCTGCTTTTCTTTCTTGGTAACTCACAGAATATAAAGAACACCAGTTATTCTTGACACACAATGTATTCTGATCAGGACATGTATGTTTCGAAACATGGCAACTATTTTCCTTTAAAGTTGCTCACAGGCACTTGTTTCGATAATAAATTTTTAACACATAGCATAATAATAACGTTATTATTATACTATTGGTTAAAAAAATTTATTACAAAAACAAGTGCCTGTGAAGTTGCTTCAGTTTTTCAGGGGGAAAAAAATCAAAATTCACAAAAAGATTGCACAAAAAATAATTTTTAAAAATATGAATTTTATTTTTAAGGAAATATTGCTGCATAGCAGTGTGAGTTTACAAATATTTAAAATAAAGCATGAGCAGCAGATCAATTTTTTTCTGGCACTTAACTTGCCAAATATAAAGTAATATCTCACTTTATTTACAATAATAAATTAAGATACCAGATCTCTTCTTTCTAAATTTTGGGCAACCAAGTTTTGCATTCGGACAAGTTAAAGTTTGAGTTCACTTGCCCGAAGGGCAAGTGAATCTGAAAGTTAATGTCTATCCCTGACTGCTCAGTTTATTTGACAGCATGTGGACCAACATTAAAATATTATGATTGTAAGAAAGTTTTCAAAATAGAACACCTGTTTCAGAAAACAAATGCTCAGTGTCATACCTGCTGACACTGATGGAAACAGAAAATGCATTTCAACTCTTTTTTTCTTCTTCAGAGTCCAAGTCAGGCTTCCGGATAGCTTTTAATATGTTTGATACTGATGGGAACCAGATTGTGGATAAGAAAGAATTCCTAGTGGTATGTATAGTCTAAAGGTCACTGCCTATATTCTGGTATCTTTCCTATCGGATGAGTTGAAGTCAGTTATCTCTGGTACCAGTAAAAAATGGCCACCGCCAGCCTCTATCTTAATGTCTGTATTGATTCTGGTACGAAGAAGGTGTGACCCATTCACAAAATGCAATCTCTTTTAACAGTTCTTACATGCAAGTAGTTTTTGTCTTCATTGAGGTTCCCTCTAGATTTTTGCTCCATATTGAAAATGGATAAGATCTGGTTTATCTAATTTTTTCTAACTTTACCACCATTGAAAATCTCTCAATGAAAAGGGGAAAAGCATTTGATAATGGAACAAAAACTCTGTCTAGTCTTATTACAAATAAACTTGCCAAAGATTTTGATTCAATCTTTTGATCAGTGAAATCTTTGTACCTTTTTTGTTGAAATTTTTACTCATTTTCATTGAAAGCCTTACATTAAAGGGTTTAGATTTACATACACTAAACACAGAAACTGATTAAGATAAGTAAAGACATTAGATACCAAAATCAAAGAGGAAAGTCAGCAGGTTCTCTCATTACCAATGTCTGCCATACAATATTTAATTAAAAACAAACAGGAATTTACAAATCTAAAACAAGAAATGGCTTTGTTTTCTATTTCCTTGGTGAGAGCTTTGTGGTGAATTATATTGTCTATTGATGATGTAGATAGTCAGTGCCACCTGTTTGTTAGAATCTCAGAAATAGGGCTAATACTTTGTGGATGAGACACACATGGTCATGTTTAAAAAGATATTCCAGATCTGTGTGAATAGCCAATAAGAAATGATGATGAATTGATGAGGTTTCTTGATTGTGCATGTAAGCACTGCCCCAAGCTTTTTACTAGGATATAGCAAGCACCTGCTGCTCCCTCACAACCTACCACCCACCACACTAGAGGTAACTACAGCACAGGCATTGCACTACTTAGGTGTTGACAAACAGGCTGTCCCATCAACATTAAATGGGTGACTACAAACACCTGATGCTGTTCTACAAACATGAGTTGGGTTACCACAGGCATTTACTATGTACAAGGGCCATGAGCTGGATGGCAGCTTTAACTACCATTAAAGGTGGATACCACAGGCTCATGTTATTTTACATGTTACCATGAGCTAAGATGATCATACATGTCTGCTGTAGCACCACAATCATGAGCTGCTTGACAAAAGAAAAATGCTACTGCAGCACAACCATGAGCTTTGTGATAACAGGTGACTGCTGCTCTACCACAACCATTAGATCTGTGAAGACAGGCAACTGCTGCAGGAACCACAACCATAAACTGATTGAAGACAAGCAACTGCTGCAGCACCACAGTTATGTGATGACAGGCAACTGCTATTGCATTAAAACCATGTCAAAGTTGTTGGGTTGTCAAGCACTTGCTGTTTCACCACAGCTAAGAATTGGGCAACATCAGGCACCTGTTGCTGCACCATAAGTTAAAGTTGGGAGGTTTTACTGCTGCACTGCAGTCATTAAAAGGGCAAGCTCCTTCTGGTGCTGCTCCATAGTCAGTATCTCTGTAACTCAGAGCACTACTCCTGCAACACCATAACAAAATATAGACTGCAGACACATGTAACTTCGCATCTGTTATTAATTTGATGACATTTTTCTGTTTCACAACTTCAAGTAAATAGTAAAAGTAATTAAAATACAAGCACCTGCTTCTAAACCACCACTATCAGAAAATCAACTCCAGCCACCTATACCTGCAACACCACTCTTAGATTTGTGACTGCAAGCACCTGTTGCTGCACCTTCACTATTCATTAGGTGACTTCGTCTACTTTGTTGTATTTGCATGAAAAAGCTTTTGATATTGTGTCTCATCTCATGAAGTTCTCTTCAAAAGAATTCTTTTATTTTATACAAAAATGGGAAAAGGGATAGAAAAAGATTTTTTTTAAGATGAGGTTTTGAAAAACACTTCATGTAGCTGACTATTGCATTTTATTTATATGGGTTTTTTTTTTTTTGTTTTTGTTTTGTTTTGTTTTTGTTTTGTTTTAAAAGAGGTTTTAAATTTGCAAATAATCATCAGAATATAGCTCCCTGTATTAAGTGATACACTGATGTTTTCTATACTTTCAGAGAACCCTTCATTGTCAGGATTATATCCACCATACCAGTGCACTTAAACATATATTCAATCACTAAACAAAATCCCTATTACACTGTTGAATTATGATTGGAAAATGAAATTCCAATAATATGAAATGTAAAAATAATGAAGAGTAATCATGCTCAAAAGTTCAATTAAACAATGCAAATCGAGAGCAGAGCAAACATAGACCCCCTGAAAATAGAGGTAGGATCAAGTGCCATTGAGGAGTAAGAATTCCTAGTCAGCCAGACACATGCATCCACCTTGAACTTCATGTCATGATCCATAGACAATTCAGTATGAAAATATTGGTTTAAAAATTTATATTAAAAATCATCACTCAACATTTGACCTAATAACAGATTACTTGCCAATAAGACCATTGTATCAACCATAGAATTTTGACTGTAAACAAGATTGTTGATACCCTTTTATCAACAACTTATTTGTCAGTAGTTTGGTTTAGAAATTGTTTGTAGACCTTTTGGGTATTGAATCAACTGGGAGACAGAAATGCCATATGCAGGTGATAACACTATATTGCTTAAATAAGAGAAGTTGACAATAGAAAAGCTGAAGTCATCTTGTTTGTCATAAAGTATAGTTCCATTGCCATCAATGTCTTTCTCTAGTAAACACCAAATATGAAACAGATGTGTCAGGCTCTACAATAATAAACTATAAAACTTAAAACATAAACTAAGTCCATATTTTACTGTTTGTTGACGTATCAGAGAAAATAAAATTCAAATAAATTAAGGTCTGAGTTTTTAATAGAAAAGCATATTTGATCCTTTGTTTAAATAATTTAGTCATCAAATATTGATAAATGGATTGACTTCAAAATAAGTCTGTACACAGCTTGTCTACAAACAATTTGTTTCCCAAGAAAATGGTCATGTAATCTTTATAGGCAAACACAGCAAAGTGCTTCTGTAAATGGTGAAAGCAATCAGTTCCCACTAAATTATCCAGTCTTTTTTTTTTAGCCCTATTTATGCTGTGGAGGCTTTTTGGGGTAGATGAGAGTGTATATGAATATGTAATGCATTCTACACTGGTCTGGGTTATGCAATCAATTTTCTTTATCAATGAACTTCATTGCTATTGAGTAAACAAGCTGTAAAGGAATTCTTGGAAGCATGCAACAAAAAAATGTCTCACAGACAGGAGAGCATTATGACATAAAGATTGTAGTTATATTGGTCGGGATAGATCTTCATTCTCTCCACTCCTTAATCACATTCATTGAAATCACTGGTCTACCCCACTTAGAGTAAAGGGCAGAAAACTTTAATATTTAGTTTATTGTCACTTGTTGTACACATTAAATAGTTTATGACTTGTAAAGAAGCTGCTTCGGCTGTGTGTATATAGGCATAACAGTAGAGATTTAAATCCAACCAATATTTTATTCCTTTAAAGGGTACAGTGGTTTTATTTCACAATTAATGAGCACTTCATTTTTCCAGGTAATAAAGAGAACGTGAATCAAGGTGGAAAAAGTGTTTGTCATAAAGTATTTACATATATAAAGTCAAAGTACATGTACACAACAAAAATATGTGTATAATAAGAGAGAGTTCTTATGCTACATATATTTAATCCTTTTTGATTTATAACAGTACCAGGATCCGGGAAACCAAAGTTTTACTAGCAATGTTAACTTTCTTTTTTATCAATGAAATTCAGACTGCGATGTTCCCACAGCTCGGGTAGTGAAGCCTTCACCTCCTGGGTATAAATTACTTACCTCTGTTTACATAGTCTTCTCATCGTCGCCTTCTTTGATACCTTTAGGGGTTAAATATTGAATCTGCTATCTCTGCAGAAATTTTTATAATACTCTTGATGCCAAGCCTTTCTTTGATGTTTGGTATTTATTCAGCAAGTCACACACAAAAAAATCATGTCATACAGATAAGACAGAGAAAGGGAAAGCAATAATTAAAACTCATGAAAATGAAAGTTTATTTCTTAGCCATAACCAAAGAGAGACAACTCCTATTTAACAGCTTTTTTTAAGCTTCACTAATGCAGCACAAAAATGTATTTTTATGCCCCCATAATATTAAATTTTGGGGCATATAGTTTTTGGTCTGTCTGTTTGCCCGCAAAAACTTTAACCTTGCCAATAACTTTTGACTGGTTGATGCAAGGGCTTTCATATTTCACATGTTTATTCTTAGTGAAAAGACCTTTCTTTGGGTACCAATATATTTGATCTTGACCTTGGAATACCTACTTTTGCAAATTTTTTCCAAACTTAAACCTTAGCCATACTTCTGAATGGTTTGTGCTTTCATATATCACATGTTTATTTCTTGTGACAAGGCCCTTCTTTGGGTACCAACATTTTTGACATCTTGACCTTAATCTTTGAGTTTGACCTACTTTTTACAAAACTTTAACCTTCCTATAACATTTTAACAGATAGTGCTAGGACTTTCATATTTTGCATTTGTATTCCTTGTGACAAGACCTTACCTTTGGTACCAATATTTTTTTTACCTATTGACCTTGACTTTGGAGAGTATGACGGCCTACTTTTGAAAAACTTTAACCTTGACCATATTTTCTAAATGGTTGGTGCTAGGGCTTTCATATTTTACATGTGTTTTCCTTGTGACAAGACCTTTCTTTGAGTACCAACATTGTAACCTAGAATTGATAAACTTTAACCTTGGTCTTGAGCTGCCAAATGGGGCATCAGTGTTTCACAAACATATCTTTGTTTCAGTTAATTGTTTGTTTATATATACCCATTTTTATTTTGTTGCTCAGCATGGAATTTTAGGTCCATTTAGACAGAAGTGTAGGTGTAAATAATTTACTGGAATATTTCACATTTCTTTATTAGCTTTAATTTGTGCAAGATATTCATTTTTTGGACATTTAGTCGATGAATTTTACTAAGAAAATTGATACAAATTGAAATGATATTACAAACCATGTAAAATTAAATGGTCTGTGCACAAAAAAGACAGTTTTAACAACTTTTAATAACAGATAATGTTTTGAATTCCATTCCATATCAATAATCAGAATTGCCCAAAGCTTTTCCTTATTACATTCCAATCCTTAATTTTAGTAAGACTATGTGGTGGTTTGAATTATTGCAATAATTACAGTTGGAGAGGATTTCCCATGTATTATAATCGGCACTTTATTCTGGTAACCGGGCTTTGATTTGTTTTCTTTTTGTCCTGTTTTTTTCAGTTGGAAACCTTCTTCACTCTTCCCCCTCAGGAAAGAAAATTTGTCCCCAGAGAGAGGACAAAATTGCAAGGCTTACTTGATGTAAACACCAACATTTGCACTATTAACGAGCTTCATATATACATTTATCTATAGGCTAGGGTTAGCTTGTCCAAACCATATATATTTCTATCATAATTTATTAAGCATGCTTGTTACATTCATAAATTTGCATGATTATTAAAAAACCCCAGTGCTAACTGTTCATGCATGGGATAGGTTTAAAATTGATCCTGAGGGAGAAAGTGATGCTCCTCAGGATAGAGGTAATAATTAACTCCCAGTGTCCTGATTTCTTGACTTTTACACAGTTCAGTTATATTTTCATATTTTTCAGATTTTCAGTAATGAATGCTCAATTATGTCAGTCCTGTTTTAGAAATAGATTTGGCACATATTTTAACTCAACTGAGTCAAAGGCTCAAGTGAATGTTTCTGATTGAAATTTGTCCATTTTCTGTAAGTGTCATCCTATGAACTTTCACATTTTCACTGGGCCAGTTTCAACCAAACAAAACAAAAGCATCCTTCGTGATGGGAATATAAATTTGTGCAATTGAAAGGCCATGTTCACTTCCAAGTGAAGATGAACAAAAGTGGCAAAATAGAGTGGGATCATATTACAAAACCTTTCCAAGAACCAGTAGGCAAGAAAAGCTAAAACTTACAATGAAAGCTTCCATGCTGACATAAAGTGCATTTTGTTGATTTTGTGCTTTTGATTATTCATATATTAATTTGAAAGCATCGTCAGGTAGTGCACAACTCATGGCCCCTGGGTTAGGGTGGAGTCACAATAGGGGGGCTTAGTCTTACATGGGAATATTAGAAAACCACTTCAAACATTTTTTTCAGGAACAGACAGACCACAGTGTACGCAAATGTATAATTATGCAAGCAACCCTTTATAGTACAGATTAAAATTTATTCAAACCATGGCCCAGGGTTTAAGTTTAATTAAGCCACAAAAAAGGAATCGGAAATATTCATATTGAATATATAGGAAAGAAATTTTATAATTCCTCTTCTCGAACAACTTCTATTATATGCAATTACATCGAAAATGTAGTGCAAATTCATATTTGTTTAGTACAAAAAAGAGATAAAAAAAAAAAATTACAAAGGAGTACAATGTATTTAGGAAATTTTCTAGAGTATTCAACACTAAATCATATTGATGTGTAAATTTAACATTCTCTTGTCATGGATTCGTTTGATGAAATTAGAACATGGGTAGCATGAAAATTAGGATTCAAATTTTACATACCGTATTTAGGAAAAAAAAGTTTTTAAAATCTTCTCCAGGACAGAAATACACCATTAGTCATTGTGATATTAAGAATTAAGTGTGGATTTAAGTTTGGTAAAGGCATGACCCCATGGAGCTAGGGAGGGGCAACAGTATTGGATTAAAACTTTCCATGGGAATATAGAGGGAAATCTAAAGAACAGGAGGGCCAAGGTGACTCAGGTGAGAGATGCGACCCATGGGCCTCTTATCACGATCTCCTCTGACTGCCTGGCATTTATGGCAAAAAGTTCATACTAGGCTAATGAATGTAGTACTAAGTTTTATGGGGTTGAGTTGCAAACACAAGGAAAGCATTTACATTCATATGAAGTACATGACTGAGCTGCTTAAGTCAAGAATCCAGGACTGTATTGCAATGGCTTGTTTAATCCTGCAGTAGATTATGCATGAAAAATCCAGAGGAAAGCTAATATACAGATAGTTTAAGTGTATACTGTCATTATAAATAATGTAGAAGAATATGCCAAAGTAAAAATGATTGTTTTTGAAAACTCTTTGTATTATTGATTAGTTCTTGAATGAAGTACACAGTAAATACATTTAAAACAGACATTAATATCATTATGCAATAAAATTTTGCAAAACTCGTGTCCATATTAACAGACACAAGGATTTTGGCACAGCTAAAGCTGAATGTAGACTTGTTAGCATGTGTGACCACGCATCACATGATCTAGACTACTCATCCTCTATACCCCTAAATCCCTACAGCATTGTACGTGTGTGTGTTTGTGACGTTTTGTTCCCATCACTTCAGTGTGCACTGAACGTGGCGTTGAGAAACATAGTCTGACTCGATGACAAAGGTGGAAAAATGCTATATATAGCCTTATACAATTACATTTATATTCCAAATTGGTAGAAAGTCAATGCCAAATCACTTTATTTAACAGTAAAATCCATCGTTAAAATTCTTTAATTTACTGTAACCAGAATTGATTTCACAGCTAATAGTACTTTACTGAAAGAATATTATTATAAAAAGAAAATGTCCTCTTGTGTAAAGATATTTCCAAAATGAAAAGAAATTAAAAAAAATTATAATAATCTACCATTTGTCTGAATCATTACCTTAGGCCTAGTATATCTAGTATGGCTTTTTAATTTTCTGTGGTATGTTAATGCATGTAATGCTTGTGGTTTCTCCTGCTAACATTTTTTTTTTTCGATATGACTTTTCCAGCTTGAGAGTGTTTTCAGTAAGAAAGAAGATGCAACCAAAAGTGACAATCCAGTTAGCAAGGTTTGGAATTTCACTTAATGGAAAAAAACAAATGAAGTGTTGTTTTATGTGTTATTTTGTTAGTTTCAGTGTTTACAATTAAATTGATGTATTTAATTTGTTATATTATACTCTCATGTAAATTAAATCTGATTCGTCGAGAAGCATTTGTCAAAAAACACTATTACCTGCTGAATAATGAAGCCACGCCCTCCAGCATAGCAACAGTCAACACTGCTTGATGACCGGGTGATATTCCAAAAAATATTGACTGCACAGAATTTATGCGCACAAGATTCACTGCAATATTTATTTGTATAAAACATTCAGTATAATATAATAAATACTGCACGTAGTTGAGTGTAACATTGAAAATTTTCACCCCTCGAAAACCCTTGTCCACCTCAGCTGTGCCTCAGTTGACAATGGTTTTCTTGGTTTGAAAATTTTCAATGTTAATCTCAACTACATGCAATATTTATATAATATGACATATTAGAAACACTTATTGCTAAGAATGCTTGTTTGACCTTTGTTGATAGTTATTATAATTTGAAAAAGATATGTTGAAGGCTTTTGTAGCTTAAAATACTGATCCAGCTATTCAGCAATAGTTTGCCTTGTGTTTGATTTTGAGTCACTCAGGTGACCCATTGCTATCACTCATCTGTTGTTGTTCTTGGCCAGTTGTCCATTGTCCATATATTTTTGAGCTTCTCTGCTTAAATTTGGGGGCAGATTTTAACTAAAATTTAGTAAAGGGCCAAAAATGGTGAATTACATGAGCCCCACCTCCCAGAAACCTTGTGGGTGGAGCCAAGATGGCAAAAAAGTATGAAATATTTAAAATTTTTCCTTCAGTCTTTACTAGCAAGCATCTAGAAAACTATATAAACAAGCAAAGGTGCCTCAACAGAAATTACTAAATTCATGACCCCTGCCTTTTACTGGCAAGCATCTAGAAGACAAACCAAGTGCTACGCAAAACCAAGCAAGGTGATCTCAAAAGACACTACATGGGTTCAAGCCACAGGGGCTATATTCTGTATATAGTGAAAATTAAAATATTTCATGTATGAAAATCTCTATTACACAATCAAGCATCTATGAAACAAACTAAATGCATAGCAATATCAAGCAATAAGCAAAGAGATAGCAACATAAATTCTAACTTAAGCACAAGGGCAGGGGTTGTTTGTAGTGAAAATCCATGTCATCTTTAAAAATATATTTATTACAAAGTATTTAGGTGACTATTACTAAGTATTTAGGAGACTCTTATTTTACTAAGAAGTGTATAGGAGGCAAATGAAGTGGTTAGCTATAACAAGTAAGCATCCCTCAATATTAATTGTGAAATTTGTGATTAAGGACATTTAGGCCCCAGAGCAAAGCTATATATATAGTATATTGTAAAAATGGAAAATCACCTTCAAAAAATACATTTTCTAGCAACTATCTAAGGAACCTAAATGATAAAAAAGCAAAGGTCCCTTGAATAAACTTTTTGTTCAATTTCTGTACTTAACTCCTTTTACTCAAGGTACATTGGACAATAGATGCCTTAGTAACTCAGATGACTATTAAGGTCCATGGGCTTATTTTTTTTTTTTTTTTTTTGGAAGTGTAGAATTTTGGAGAGGAAAAAAAGCATGTTTGGTTTGGTTTTGTCTTTGAAAAAGTAATTTTTAATGCTTGATAAAGTGCATTTTTCTTTCTTTTTATTTTTCATAAACTTCATTCTCTTAAAAAAAATGATTTAAACCACGGATATTATTTCAGTAACTTTAAAGTTTGTTGTTGAATGCAAGTTAATTTTGGGTGTGTCTTTAAATTGAAACTAACATAAGAAAATTTTGTCTATAAATATAAAAATAAAATGATAAATATTTTTTTAATACTAATTTTAGATGTTTAATAGCAAGGAGAATAATTTATGGACTCTTGAAAAATCTGAATTCAAGCAAGAAATGAGCTCTCATATATTCTGTTCATGTGTGTGTTCCTGGAAAATAATGTTAGTAAAATAATATGATAAGAAAGATGTTTATTGTTAAAAATTATTTTGTAACTATTTGTGTTGTTCCTTTGATAGTCCATGGAGCCAGTTCAGGATACAACTCTCATGGTCCACTTTTTTGGTTCCAAAGGCAAGGATGTCCTCAAATACGAAGATTTCCACAGGTAATAAAGATAGTTTATACACTTTGACTTACTTTATATAATATATATAACATACCCTCTTAAGTTATTGATTATTAGCTCACTTGAGCTGTAGGCTCGAGTGAGCTTTTCTGATCAAAACTTGTCCATTGTCTGTTGTCATTGTTGCAAAACTTTTTACATTGTAATATTTTTCTCCAGAATTGATGGGCCAATTGCAGCCAAATTTTGCACAAAGTATCTTTGGGTGAAGGAGATTTAAATTTATTCAAATGAAGGGTAATACCTCCTTTTAAGGGGAGATAATCAAGAAAAGACAAATATATATATAAATCAAGGTTATTCAGACCAGAACTGCAGGGCCATGTTAGTCACATTGATATTCAGAATCCCCAAGTTTGGTTAAGCCATGACCTTTTGAGACTAGGATGGGCTTATTATGGAGTCAAAATTTTTTTTTCATTAGATTGCAAAGGGGGACAAATCGTAGAATGAAATATATGGAGATAACGAACAGTATTCAAGCTCAAAAGTCCATTAAACATTATAAAAGAAAAAATTTTCTGAAGAATAACAGGGCCAGGGTGACTCAGGTGACCATTGTGACCAATGGGTCTTTTTTACTTGTACCTTTTTAGCTCACCTCGTCAAAGTCAAGATGTGCTTATGCCGGTTAAAGTTTTAGGATCAAGTGCATTCCCAAGTAACTATAAACCTTACCTGAACCAAACTTGCATGGATGATGGATCTACAGATACTCACTACCAGACTTGGTTCAGATGCTGATCTGACCTACATTATTTTGTGGATGAGAGACCAGGTTAAAGTTTTTGGAGCAGGTCCATTCTCAAGTACCTATAAGCCCTATGGTAAGTAACCAAACGTGCATGGATGATGGATCTAGAGATGCATACCACCAGACATTTTTTAGATGCTGGATCTGACCTCCATTTATAGGTGACTGACCAAATTCAAGTTTTTGGAGCAGATCCATTATAAAATACTGGGTAACTATAAAGCCAGTTTGCACCATACTTGCATGGATGATGCATCTAGGGATGCACAATTACCAAACATTCTTCTGATGCAGCACCTGACCTACCTGGATGATCTTACCTACATTTTCCAGGTGATCAAAAAAATATTTTTAGCAGATCCTTTCTCAGGAAACTAATCTTACAAAGACCAAACTTGCATGGATGGACATCTGGGGATGCACATTACTAGATCATAAAGTAGGAGACTTTGCCTTCATTTATAGATAACATTCATCAAGGTGAGCTTTGTAATCTTTAATTACTTTTGTTTGATTACTGTAGACCATTTGTACATTTATTTCATTTTACTTTATATTTGCAAACAATAGCAGCTGTTTGTAAGACAATATATCTTGTATCTTCAGTAAGAAATAAAATAAATATTGTCAAGTATTATTCATGGGCTCTTAATTTATCATGCAGACTTCACAAAATTACTCAAAGCTTTTATAAAGTCATTTTATAGTGAAATTATGTCATCTTATTTGATTTTCACATGTTGTAAACCCTTATTCAATTTTCTCTGAATTGTAGATTTATGGAGAACCTACAATCTGAGGTTATAGAACTTGAGTTTCTGGAATTCTCTAAAGGCCTAGCTACAATATCAGAAGAAGATTTTGCTCGTATTCTGTTACGCTACACAATGTTAGACAGATCCGACATCGAGGAGTGCATCACTCGAGTCAAGACAAAGATCCCAAGTGAAAAGGTCCTATGATGAATTTTCATTATTTTTTAATTTTTTTTTTTTTTTTTTTACAAATGCTCCTCAGCCAGGAACAGTAACTCATAAAAATATTAATAAACACTGGTAGGACACCATGCCTTATCATCCACATCTTATTTATCACTGTTCATTATAGACAACTGGACAGGAACTAAAAATTCTAACACACATAGAGAATGGTTTTATGGAAATGTACAATTCGGCAAGGAAAAAAACTTCAGATTTTATTGATGATAATTAGATTGTTTATTGATTCTTGTGATGAATAAATAAACAAAAATATTTTTTCAATTATACCTTTTGTATATGAATATCATGCTACAAGAACTGAATGGTTTGCTCGGCTTTAACTTAAAGAAAAAAATTATTGGTCACACATGGCACATATCCATTGTTTACAATAGGGTGTCACAGTCAGTTTACTGCATAATTTTCCATTGACAAACCATCTCTTAAGCATTTGCAAGACTCCGTATAGAGAACCCAAAAGGGTTCCCAAGCAAATTATCTATACACAAATTATTACAAAACCAGAAGTAAATGGTATATATCGCATGTCATGGAGTTTAGAGGACCTTTAACTACTGATTTTCAGAACTTGAGGAATGGACTACCTTTTAAGTTCAAATACATGTATTAAATCATACTCGCAAAAAGTTTTCATCAACTATTCAAAAAACCCTCTTGTTTAGTCGTCACCCACCAGGTTATAAGAGGGCTGTTGCTGAAACTGATTGCCTCCTTGCATTTATAAAATTGTTCATGACTGAAGACATTTGCTTATATTTAATGGTTCTAATCTTTCAGGGCATTACATTTGAGGATTTTAGGAAATTTTGTGAATTTCTGAACTCACTAGATGACTTTACTATAGCCATGAAGATGTACACTTATGCAGACCAAGCCGTTTCGAAAGGTAACCAAAATAAAAAGCTTGGGAAAAAGAAATTCCCAATGAAAAATGTTAAAAACAAATGCACATCATTAAATACAATGTATACAGAAGCAAAGCACCTTTCTGGGACAAGTATGATACAGCAATTTCATTTATAATTTAAATTTTGTTTGAATATCATTTACAAAATAGCTCTGGTCTGTCTTTTCACCAACATGTGTAATGTAAGGAAAATTCTCAATGAACAGTGAATTAAGTTAATTGTAATAGTTATAGTGTTGTGGAAAAAAGAAATGAGTTAACCTTTATGATTATTTGTTCATTTCTGTTAACAGAAGATTTCCAGAGGGCAGTGTTTGTGTGTACGGGTTCGAACCTGAGCCCTCACCTGGTTGATACAGTGTTTAACATCTTTGATGCGGATGGAGATGGGCATCTCAGTTACATGGAGTTCATCTCTATCATGAAGGACCGCCTCCACAGGGGATCCAGGGTAGATAGTGTTCTGTAACCTTAAATTTCAGGACTGTATACACTTAAGGAATTAATAGGCATTTATTGTTTATCCTTTTAAAAAAAATATTATATGTGTAAAAACTTCATAAAATATAATTTTAATCATAAAGTACATTTATTTAAATTGTTTAAATGGTGAATATTTCCATCATAAGAATTGAACAGAAACTTTTCAATGGTGTATGAAAATATGGTATTGAAAAAAAAAACAGGAGTGAAAATTAATATTTGAGTTTTTACCCATTGTTACCTTTAAATCCTTTATGATTTATTTCCTTTTGTGGTGTATACAGTTTGTTGTGCACATCATTAAAACAATACTTCATTTTGACAACAGAATATTGTATATAGATGTACTTTGTTATCATTTCTCTGTCAATTCTTTAATTTATAGCAATTAGCCGTGAGTAATACCCAAGTTTTATAATAATTTGTTGTACAATTTCTTCCTTATCATCAATAATACCTCTCTCTTTTTTTATTTGTTAAACTTATTCATCACGTTGTGTGGATCACACTGTAAATTATTGTTAAGGTATCACCTAACATCAGATATTAGAGTATAGGCTAGCACTGTAAAATATTGGCCTACCCAGACTTTTCCCCCACCCAAGTGAAGTGCCTTTGCCAGAGATGAATTGCAGTTAATACCCACTGTGTGAATTAGTCTTTCTCCCTCCCATTCTTAAAGAACTTAGTTTCATATTGATGATATGTAAAGATGAGACTATATAAGTCCAAGTATTTAACTGATTGGTTCGAGCTGATTTTGTAAAATGCTTGTGTCAGTGACATATTTTTTGCAATACATTCTCTTCCTTGTTCAAATATTTTCGAGGGATGCTAACGAGTATTTGAGTACTTGGCTATCACTCAGTCATACCAACTACGAATATTCATTAAAAACGTGCTATTTAATAGTATTTTAAATTGAAGGTTATAAACAGAGAGATTTTTTTTTCATCTGGTTTATTGGTATCAAGGCTTGGACCCTCCTCTGATGTGAATCAATTATTTTTCTAACAAAAATTATGTAATTAAGCATACATTTAACATTTGGGATATAATATTTCATTTGATGTCTAATATGAATTAATTTCATTACTTGATTTGTTTTTTGCACAAAATTGCATAATTAAGGTTGATTGCATTTTAACTATTTACCAGTCAATGGGTCAAGAATTTTAGCTGAAATAAGACAACAAGTGATAGCATCTGAGAACAAATGATAAGCCTTGGTAATAAGCATTTGATAAAGTGCATATTTAGATAAAATATGTGGTAAAAATAATCAGTATTAATTCAGATACTTGTAGAAGGTGTATTTTTACTATTTAAGTTAATATTTTAATTGAGAAACACATTGTATGTCATGGTAGCTGGATATAAATATTGAGTATACAAGTAGTCTTTAAAGGACATGATATTAAATGACGAGAAAAATTATTTTAATGAGTACTTGACTACTGGTATCACTCAACTAAAGACTCTGATTATTTCATTAGGCTATCCAGGTAAAATTGGTATCTCCAATATTTTCTTTCAATTAGTATTGTTTTTCCTAGCTATCATATTTTTTTTTAAAATTTAAATAAAGAAGTCTATAAATTTTGTTGTAATTACTCAATTTCTTACACAGCTAAATCATTTTTTCTTTTTTCATATATTTTCATATATATATATATATATATATATATATATATATATATATATATATATATATATATATATATATATATATATATATATTATGAAGTGGAATAAAAATGGAAATCATATGTTAGTAAATTGTATACAGTAGAACTAATATGCCTTTGTTGCAGTCATTTTATTTTTTACTTGTGATTCTATTTTTTTAATGTACATTGGAAGAACACAAGCATAATTTTAGGCTTAAAGTATTGCACTCAGTTATTTTTGATTGTTAAAAATTTCCATCTTTTGCTATTGCCATGGCTTCTGAAGAAAGGGCTATCTTTGAATATCTTAGAAAATGCTACCCCTCTTGCAGTTTTGGTTTGTTTTTATCAAACTTGATACAAGTTTAAGAAGATTCATAATTCGTAAATGTTAAACTAAAAAAATGTTTCTAGTCCAAAAACAGCTTTTCTCTCCTACCATTTTAAGTACAAACCAGTAGTCCTACATCGTATATCGTATAAAGAATAAAAACGTGTAACGCTTTTATTGTTCTTAAAAACTTGTTACAAATATTGGCTAAACCATTAAAAATAACCATCAACACTCATATAAAGTTTCTTTAGGCTTCTAAGACATGAGAGAAACTTTGACTTCTTTTTAGCTCACTTGAGCTGAAAGCTCAAGTGAGCTTTTCTGATCACCCGTTGTCCATCGTCTGTCCATCCATCTGTAAACTTTTCACATTTTCAACTTCTTCTCAAGAACCATTGGACCAATTTTAACCAAACTTGGTACAAAGTATCCTTGGGTGAAGGGGAGTTTAAGTTATTAAAATAAAGGGCCAAGTCCCCTCACAAGGGGAGATAATCAAGAAAAGACAGAAATAGGGTGGGGTCATTAAAAAATCTTCTTCTCAAGAGCCACAGGGCCAAAAAAGCTGAAACTTATGTAGAAGCATCCTGGGATAGTGTAGATTCTAAATTGTTCAAATCAGGACCCCTGGGGGGTAGGGCGAGGCCACAATAGGGAATCCAAGTTTTACATTGAAATATATAGGAAAAATCTTTTAAAATCTTCTTTTCAAGAACCACTGGGCCAGAAAAGCTGAAACTTATGTGGAAGCATTCTGGGGTAGTATAGATTCTAAATTGTTCAAATCAGGACCCCCGGGGGTAGGGCGGGGCCACAATAGGGAATCCAAGTTTTACATTGAAGTATGTAAGAAAAATCTTTAAAAATCTTCTTCTCAAGAACAACTGGGCCAGAAAAGCTGAAACTTATGTGGAAGCATCCTCAAGTAGTGTGGATTTTAAATTGTTTAAATCATGACCCCGGGGGTAGGGCGGAGCCACAATAGGGAATCCAAGTTTTAAATTGAAATATACAGGAAAAATCTTTAAAAATCTCTTCTTAATTAACAGGGCCAGAAAAAACTGAAACTTATGTGGAAGCATCCTGGGGTAGTGTAGATTCTAAATTGTTCAAATCATGACCCTGGGGGTAGGGTGGAGCCACAATAGGGAATCCAAGTTTTACATTGAAATATACAGGAAAAATCTTTAAAAATCTTCTTCTCAAGAACCACTGGGCCAGAAAAACTGAAACTTATGTGGAAGAATCCTGGGATAGTGTAGATTCTAAATTGTTCAAATCAAGACCCCCGGGGGTAGGGCGGGACCACAATAGGGAATCCAAGTTTTGCATTGAAATATATAGGAAAAATCTTTTAAAATCTTCTTTTCAAGAACCACTGGGCTAGAAAAGCTGAAACTTATGTGGAAGCATCCTGGGGTAGTAAAGATTCTAAATTGTTCAAATCATGACCCCTGGGGGGTAGGGCGGGACCACAATAGGGAATCCAAGTTTTACATTGAAATATATGAGAAAAATCTTTAAAAATCTTCTTTTCAAGAACCACTGGGCCAGAAAAGCTGAAACTTACGTGGAAGCATTCTGGGGTAGTATAGATTTTAAATTGTTCTAATCAGGACCCCAGGGGGTAGGACGGGGCCACAATAGGGAATCCAAGTTTTACATTGAAATATAGGAAAAATCTTTAAAAATCTTCTTCTCAAGAACCACGGGGGTAGAAAAGCTGAAACTTATGTGGAAGCATCCTCAAGTAGTGTAGCTTCTAATTTGTTCAAATCATGACCCCGGGGGGTAGGGCGTCTTGTTTTTTTTTTAGGTTGAATATTATATTAATGCTAGAGAAACCTTAATAAGTGACTTTAATAGTGGTATCAAAATATACTCATATAAAGTTTCTTTAGGCTTCTAAGACACGAGAGAAATTTTGACATCTTTTTTTTTTTGGTTGAATATCATATTTATGCTAGAGAAACCTTAATAAGTGACTTAGTGGTATCAAAACATACAACGTCCTGTCCAAAATGCTTCTTTTTTTTCTTATAAGAAAAAATGTAGTATTAAATATTAAGACATTTTTTTAAGATATAAAGGAAAGTGACACACAAAAAAAAGGATTTGATTTCTCATCAAAGAATAAGTAATTTCTCTGATTTTCTAAATTTTGTGGTTCATTCTAAGTAATAGAATATTTACACCAATTATCTTTTATGATCTGGTTAATTTGCAGAAAGATGAATGGTACCAGTGGAGTGTCTGATTGCATACAGTTTAATTGTTGCATGGTATTTATGAATTGCCAAAATCACCATTTTATATTCTATTTTTCAGTCCCATCTAATGCACACCCAAGACAAGTGGTCAGCATTCAAATCCTGTGTAAAGAATGAAATGAAGACCTACAGTTAAAAGAAAGAAGATCTCTAACAACAAACTTAGTATCTGTGAAATATAAGAATGGACTGTGTATTCCGTGACCTTTCCTTCTTTAACCTGCACCAAATGTGACGAAAATCAATGTTGCTCAAAGTTCCTTGTTTAAGTGTTACATATCAAATTCATTGCATTATAGTAGATTCCCAAATCTTTATTTACCGGGTACAAAAGGTTTTTTATTTTCTAATTTATTTATTCTCTTTATATTTTATTAGGAATAAATAAAAGACAAAATTTATGACTCAAGTTTGGCAAAGAGTCAAATGAAATACAATTGCATAATGTCATGAACCACTGGTTATATACTTCTGGAATCGTGAAAAGCTGTTAAATACATAAGAACCTTGTAGATTTCTGTAAAGCGATTCTGTTCTTCATGTGTTTTGTATAGAAAGTCACTTTTTCTCTGTGATAACACTTTTATTATTTCTTTTCAGGTGAGGGAGATATGTTTTGTTGAGTTTGGTATAATTTTATATCAGTTTGAATGCATGTTCACAATTTGTATGTTTGAGATTGTCTCCCCTACCAAATTATACATGTATTTCTTTAGTCATACTGAAAAAAATATTTATTTCTTGAGAACATAATTATTGCTCTGACATATTGTTAATTTATTCAATAAATTTTTCATATCATGAAAGACATTTTTTTGGATTTTAGACCTTGTTTCAGAAATGTTTGTTAGTTTTGAAAAGTCATCAGGTGGGGATCTGACATTTTTCACACAGGCACCTAATAAAATTATATGCCTTTATAAATATACGGGTTCAAACTGAAATTCATTAAATGTACTTCTATTTTCCTTTCCAGTGTCTATTTAACTAATGATTCATTTAAACACATGGGAAATTGACCAACTTCCCCTGGAATAACCAAATTTATTTGAAAGAAATATTGAAATAAAAGACAGAGGGACTCAGTGATAAATATTAGGAAGTGTTTTGTAATATGTCAGAATTGATTGATGTACCATAGAGTGTAAATTGAGTGGGTGAATATGGTGATCTCTTAACACTCTAATATTTTTGATATACATGTATACTGATACAGGTATTAATTGTTTGCAAATCTGTATTTTTTTTATGGTAAGAAATACATCTCTTACAAGTCCATTTGCATGTGTTGTTACACAGAATTTACTTGGCAATGTCATGGATCCAGGAGAGGACCTCAGAGACTTTGGTGTAGATAGAAGGGTGGTACCCACAATCCACGTCACCCCAGGAGGACACTCCAGCTATTACATACTGTGAACGGTCAAGGCAGATCAGAGGTCCACCACTGTCACCCTACAGTTAACAGAATTTGTAAAGATAATCACCATACCTGACAAATTTTTTGAACACTGAAGAGGGAAAAGAGTGGGGGGACTAAACAGGCAAACATGCTGATTTGTTTTACTGTATTTATCCTTTGTAATTGTGAACACTTACAGAGCATGGTGTACTGCCATAGCTGATGACGCACAGACTGTCATAGTAAACATAGCTCCCCCAGGTGGCGCTGCACAGGTTGGTTGCAATGACTGTCATTGTGGTTTGTTGTAGAAGATTGGAATGCTCTGTATCTGTAAAGAGAAACATCTATGATAGAATTGGGAGTAAGTAATCCCACGCTATGCCCCTGTCCTATCGGTATACAATAGATACCAATAACTGGAACTATTGGTGTGCCATTACCATGACCAAAGGTATTTTTGTAGTTTCAAAGTCACTGGCAGAAAAAAGTTTAATTCTTGTCTGGTCCATAACTCTTTAATGGAAAAAAATTTGATGCAAACAACTTGACACCAAGATTGCTTATGATCTAATTGGTGTGTCTTGATCAGTTGATGCTACCAAATGTTATTTGGCCAGTTAAAGGTCATCGGAAGAAAAATGTAAAATTCAGGTACTTTGGCACTACATATATTTGAAAAATGCAGTGATTTTTAACCTTGATTTTCCTTGGTTTGCATGAAAGAAGATGGGCGTGTTTGGTGTGTGATCTGCAGGAATAAGGCGTACGAAACATTTATAGTTTAAATATCTACGATTTGGTCGGCTGACCACAGCTGGACATACTTTACAAAGTTAGGCACATAAGAAAATGTTACATTTAGTTTGAAAATACTTTGTCAAATTTAATGTACCAGTCCGCCTATCTTAATAATTACTACATGTAAAACTTAGTAACGCTTCACATAAATACTAAACACCTATACGGTATAGTTAAATGCAATTACAAGTACATGTATAGATTAAAGTATCAATAAGTTGGAAGAATTGCTTTCGCTTTCGGTGCAACAGAACCAGAATTTATCTATTTGAAAATAAATCAGTACATAAAATTAAACTGACAAAAGAATTGATTGTTTGCACTAAAAAAAATATTAACGATCCATGCGATAATCGAACCAAAAATATTTCTTTTCATTGCACTGGACTGGTAACGAATACTACTGAGCTATCACCGCTACATACACTTTATGGTTTTAAAGCGACAATGAAGCACCGAATTTACACATTGGAATTTTCTTTGAAAAAGTTCATTTTTTATCGTCTCTGGGTCTTCTCTCCATTTTTTACAAATGTTTGTTAGTTTCTTTGAATTAAAATGCACACAAATAACGTTTCAAAATCATGGAGAGTTGACCCAGAGATAGCAAATTTTTAGAAAAACGTGTTTAAAAATGTAACATTTTGTACCAAATGATTCATCTAGCCAATTTTGAAGTTCTTTTTTAGCAAATCAAAATACAATATCGGGAAAATATGTCCCTTTCCTATTTCACAGCAATCTGATTAAAATACAGATCTCTTCATAGCGCAAAGCGCAGCTTTGCGCTATGAAGAGATCTGTATTTTAATCAGATTGATTTCACAGGAACCTGATACATCAAAAGAATGCTAAGATTTCATGTGAAAGATCAATGAAATTTTCACTTTTCAAGTGCGTCCAGATTCCTGCCGAATGCCAATCAAAAGCGCCCTCGTTCTTTCTTGAATATTGTAAAGAATTTCAAAATAACACCTCATACTTAAAAATAACATTTCTACAATATTTTGAAAGTTTTCACATTTTCATGACATAATTTATTTTTTGGAACTCTATGATGTTCCATAATGTGACCTTGACCTGCCATAAGTTCCTAAGTCATTTTTTTAAAATCTTAATTCGTTTTGCCCATTTTTTGATTACTATGAAGGATTCCAAAGAACCCACTTCATGAAAACAGTTAATGGGATATGACTTCGACCTCAAAGTGTATTTTTTACCTTAATATGCAAATGGTCATTGGATATTGTTTTGATTAGAAAAATTAGGGTTATCAGATTTTTATCAAGACTTTATCCCACATTTTCTGATATTTGGAACTGTGGCAGTCTTTTTTTCCCCTATAAAGTTCTTGGTTTGCCACTGCTGACTCCCTGCATTAATAAATAACAAGATCGTAATTTACATGTATTACAAAATTTTAATATTACCCCGTGTCTTTCCCCACCCTATGACGAAGCAGTCCTGTCCGGTGAAGTCGTCGCATTTTGTCGGTAGCAGAGCGACTCTGACGTTCGGATTCTCAGTCACGGGTTGACTCAGTTCCAGTAGAGCAGCGTCGTTAGGAAGGTAAAAGTTAAAGTCTGAATGTTGGATGTTGTAGAAGGGATTCTGGAATAGTGTGATTACATTTCATGTAAGACAAATGTTTCGGAAGAAAGTTTTCTGAAAATAACTGAAGGAACCAGAAGAGACACAGGCACTTGTTTCATACAGTGCGCTTCTTTACTATTATACAATAGTTAACAGCTAGTTAATAGTTAAAATGTACACAGAATTATGTATCTTAGAGTTGTCTTCTTGTAATCCAAGTTATATTGAAATGAAACAAAAACTGTATGAAGAGTAGCGTTTTGAATGCATTTTACAGAAATTTCTATTTTCAGTAACCATGGCAACACCGTTCATTGAAATTAAAAACCGATACAAAGAATTACGTATCTTAGTGTAGTTTACTTTGTACCAAGTTATATTGAAATCAGACCAAAACTGTAGGAGGAGTAGCGTATTGAAAAATTGTTTACAGACAGTCGGACAGCTAGACAGACGGACGAAGGACACCTTTCTATCGCATAAGCTCTTCTTGTCTCTGACCAGTAGAGCTTAAAAATAGGAAAAGTTTTTTTATGGGGGGGGATACACGTTTATGAGATGGTATATTGTGAAATGACTGGGAAAAAACTTCTGTTGGTAATCCCCCATTCCATGAAGTGATTTTGCCAATTTTATCTTTTTCTAAATTATTAGACATAATAACAATGTAAATATTTTATAAACAGTAATACCATTTGACAGAATTTCCAACTGATTAATTGATTAATCGGTTAGCATTTGTCATCCCCAATTTTTATCATTGGTCGGACACAAATGTATCTGGCTCCAAAAAAAGTTGAAAGTTTCAGGTTCATAAACCCTCTGCTCACCAAATAAAATGTTGTTTTAACTTTTATGATTTTCTGAAAGTAATGTTTTTCATAAGTAAAAAAAAACAAACAATTATATCAAAGTTTGCGGGGCAAAGAAGATGGGCGAACAAGACGAGCGCACTGCCTATAGTGCAACAAACATGAAGGTGAAAAATAAAATCTGAAATATAACAAAATTTTCTTTGATATTTCATCTTAATTTAAAGTGTACTTTATGAAATATCTCCACAATTTGCAAAAATCTCACTAAGATTGAAATTATTTGCCTATGAAATAGCATACACACACTAGAGAGGGCAAAAAGAGTCATTAACACTAAAAGACAATGATATGAGTGGGTCTTCGCTCCATATTTTTCAAAGTTTATCCTCAAAGTTTGCCAAAAAATATACATTTTTTGGTCATCAAAAACATGGAGCAAAGACCCACTATACCCCCAAATACACTTTTATGACACAACATTAGCATCTTTCCGAGAAATACTTCCATTTCAATACTTCCAAATAAGTCCATTTAGTAAAAGGTCATATCACAAACATGATTTATATGCCACAATTCATCAATAACTGTGTAGCGTAGTGGTTAGCGTGTTAATCTCAAAGGAAAATGATACTTAGGATTTGCCCCCCTTCACTTCACTGACTCTAACAACAATATATTTGTATGCATTTCAGCGCACTGCGAGATGAGCTAGGCTTTATTGTTTCCACACAATATGAAAAAAGCAATATAATACATGTATAAAATTATACAAAAATAAAATAAACACAATTATGCTTTCCTCGCCGCCCAGGAAAAACCATAGAAAAAAAGCAACTGATTTATGTTGAAAAACTATGGAAACCTATAAGTTCGCAGCAATTACGAGGTAAGCAAAATGAATGGCGGACTCACTCTCACAAACCTTAGTATGTGAAATTGTCATTTATTACAATGTACAAAAATCTGACTTGCTCGGGAGAGCGTGCGCTAGAGAATGAATACTAAAAATCTCTTTAACCCATTCGAACACGTCCTTATCTAAAACACATTTCCATTGCTTTTACTCGGTACACAACAATTATCAACACTTCCGTTCCGACTCAAGCAATTTGTTTACTTGTCGTTAGGACAATTATTTCTCGATATACTTCGTAATGCGAGAAATTTTAATTATTGCTAGAGTTCGAACCCCACGAATACCACTGTGACATTATTTTTTAAATAACAGAATAATTTTTGCAGTTAAAATTTTCCTTAGAAAAGTTTTGTTTATCAAAATTTCAAAAATGAGAACTTTACTCTAAATAAATCACAAATTATGATTTTTATATATCTGAAGCTATAGGCATTCTGCGCGCCTTGTTCTCCCATCTCCTTTAAAAATAATTAGAGAAATCTATAAAGGAATAATAAACATTATGTCATTGGGTTATCTCCCTTATCAGATTATCAATGAACATTAAAAATGTAGTGGTTTAGATTTCTATTTCATAGCCCTCGTTTCGTAAATTATATTTTGCAAGTATTTGTTGGTATTTCAGTCTGATAATTCTATTTACCTTTTGTTTTCAGTTGTTACTTACGTAAAACCCCTTTATTATTTGTCTTTTATAAGTTAGGACATGTGTTGACATTCCACATGTTTTACTTTTTAAACAGGAAGTGTCATCCATGTTGTGAGTCTTCCCATAGTACTTTTGTAGCTGTGTTCTGATTGGTTAAGTTAGTTGTAGGATCTTTGATCTTTATTGGCTTTTATTTTTGGGCCTACAGCTAGGGTATTTAAAGCTGTGTTCGTGTAGTTTTCTTCACTTGGGTTGGGGAACACAACCTCATGGTTAGTTCCTCTTTACTGTGCTAAGAAAACCTAATGGTTTATGAGCACTATTTGATTAGTACCTTAGAGTGCTAAGAAAACCTCATGGTTTAACAGTAATCTGGGTCTTTGCTAGCTTTAGTTTCACGTTTTTCACAAGTTCTAGATTTCTGTTAGGAAACAGTTAGGATGTAGGTTTTATAGAGTAAATTTATTTTCCCCTTTCCAAGTCAAGCCTGGTCTAGGGATTTGTAGATAACAGGTATAATTCCTAAAACCACTATTCACTATTTATTTTTGGTGTTGTTTATTTTCTGGGTTAGATATCTTTTTAGAGTCCAGATTTAGCATTATTATTTTAAGTTCAACTCTAGAGTGTTGATTAGTAGAGTTCATATTGGGTGATGTAGCTCATTTCCCTTACATTTTTCCAACTCATTGACATTTATAGCAGTTTTTAATAGGATTTTTGACCTTTTTCATAAGTACCAGATTTAGCATTATTATTTTAAGTTCAACTCTAGAGTGTTGATTAGTAGAGTTCATATTGGGTGATGTAGCTCATTTCCCTTACATTTTTCCAACTCATTGACATTTATAGCAGTTTTTAATAGGATTTTTGACCTTTTTCATAAGTATGGAAGCTCTGTAGGGACATAAATTATTTTCATAGGTTTTTCACATTCCTCCCTTTATTCTCTGTTAAATTTTGATTATTATTTATTATTTGTTATCATTTACAAAGGTTAATTCTCACTTTATTAAATTTATAAAACTTACAACTGTGTTTTCATTTAGCGTTGATCATAGTTCAGATATCCCCTTACCTGGGTTGATTATTGATAACTGGAGATAGTTTACTGCTTTAAGCCAAGTTGGCTATTAACTTTGTTAAGTTATTCATTAAAGAGTTCTATTTCCGGTTACAAAAACAATCAGGATTTAGTCTCGGTAACGTTAAATACGTGATATGGCTCAACCAAAGTTGACAATACGTTAGCCCCCTCCCACCTCTCCTGTATGCTACCTTGAATAACACGATCGAAAATGGCACTAGTCCTTGGAGTTTGACACAGTGATAACTACTCACCATGTGTATGGAGGTGATATTCCTGAATTGTTCTGTTCCTTCATTTGTTGAAAGGTCGTGCTCACCCATCACAATCCTGAAGGACTGAGCACTATAAAAAGAGAAGTCTGATTGAACTTTTCGTCCATTTCTGTCCGCAATAGACGGTAGGCACGTAATGGGGGGGGGGGGGGCAAACGAAGAGAAAATAATATTTAAAAAAAAAAGGTATGATTTAAAAGACATTATTATTAAGGGGGCACAACCTTATATTAGCATTGGTATTCTTATCTCTGTTCATATTTATACTGGTTGCCAAATTATTATGTATAAACTTAAAGTTGTAAACATAGTTGACTTCACTGATTTGTACATTTATCTATGTACTTTAGTGTGTGTTTTAGTAATGTGACAACACATTATACTTTTCATTCTGTATGTAACATGGTTGTATGCCAACATCTTTGGAGAATCAATGTTAGGTGAATCGATAAATATTTAGTATATACCGACAAAATTCCCCCTTCCCGTTCCCGCGGACCAGACTTCTTCCAAGTCAATTTGAAATACTAGAAGTCTCCGATTTTCTGGGTTCATTTAAATTATTAAAATCAACTTTGTTAACAAAGTTCAGAGCGGGGGCACAGTTACTCGTGGACACGATTGTCCCTACCCCCCCCCCCCCTTTCCCAATAATATTTTTCAGATCGATTTTCTTTTTATTTCTAATTGCTGACAAGTTCATCTATATTTCTGTTTGAAAATCACATGAATATTACGACCCAGATGCAGTTTCTATTCACAGTTGTTTCACGTATACAGCCGCTGTAAGAATCAAATAATCCCCCCACCCCCCATTTTGGTTACCTCTGTCCGTCCAAACAGTGAGCCGCTGTGAGAATCCATTTGGTCTCCACCAGAACCCCACCACAGAAGTGGAATCCGTCGTGGGTTTGAAGTGAGGCCATGAATGGCCAGTAATGTGGTATGGAGGTGGATCCTCCAATTATGCGTTGTCTCGGGGGTGGAGTCGAAGATTGAAGTGAGAGGAGGGGATGCCTCCATGGATTACCTTTCCCTGATGCTCCTATTAGAACAAACAAGCGTGGAAAATTTATAAACAATCCAATTCTCTGTATCAATTTAGCTAGGGCGAATGATCAGGACCCCCCCCCCCCCCTTCCTCCCCAACCACTCTATTTTTCGGTGGTGTTAAATTTACATAGTTTAACAACTTAATTATGATTTTGGACCTTAAAACTGCCTCCCCTATCAGACTCATCCCAGCTTCTGGAAATAATCTTAATTTTGGGGGGATGAAATGCATTTTGACAATCCTATCTCAACCTTAAGAAGTAACCTTTAAAATTTTAGAAAATTCCAGGGTTTTCCATATAATTACAATGAAGTACAGAAAATATTCTGTGATCGACTGGTCACATGAAGTAATTTGAAATCAGATCATTTAGAAATCGACTTCGTACGTACCAGTTAGGATAACAGATAGAATAAGCAGTGTCTGTAAGATCCCCATGTCGGCACTATCAGTTTGTTATACCAGGGTATCCAAGTTATTTTTCGTCATTATTCTATACAATGTTTTACTTGTGTTGTCATTCCAGAATCTAACAGCAGGCATGCATCTTTATCATTTGTTTACATGATTATCTAACAAAAATTTAGGCCTAACCTTTAACTAATTGCAAAAGAATTCTTTTTGAAGGAACAAGAGGCCCAAGGGCTTTTACAGTCACCTGAATATAATGATCAAAGATCAAGGATCCATAGATCTATAAAATAAAACGAAATAAACTGATAGAAGAAGCTTTGTTGCCCAAAAGCAAGAGAAATATGATGATCAGGGATCAACAAAACACTTAATCTAGTACTCACTAAGATCTATTTACTTGCCTGTATTTGCCCCCATTTGTCACTATCATCAAGCAGACAAAACAATATTGCTTTATTTAGCATTGTTAGTAAACCAGTCTCATTTTTTATCAAATTGGCTCTCTTTGTCTTTGAAGAACATTTAATGTACAAAGATAAAGTATTAAGTATTTTTGTTTCAGTTTTATTCTATTATTTACAAGTCAACCTGACCATTAAAAACTATATATTACAAAAACTCTTGTAAAATTCTCTTATTCAATCGACATTTCAATTACATGTACATTATTTACAATGATTAATTATCATAAGTAGATAGCAAAGGGGAATAACTTCAGTCTCTCAGTAAAAAAAACAAATTATAGAGCCCTGCCTAGCACCAGAACATTTGACCAAGTGGTCCCGAATATAAACTGTCTAGTAAAAATACCCTTTCTTATAACAACTTTGTAATCTGTTTGTCTCCTAGATGCTAGGGAGCAGAGAAGATTTTTAAAAGAAATAAGGCATTTTCACAATAGATTCATTACAGTCCTGCCCCACCAGAACCCTTGACCCAGGGGCCCTGTAATTAACAATTTTGAAATTCACAAATTTTGAAGAGGCACCCTTGCTCATCATAACTACTTACAATGTACTAAGTTTGTATGCTTAATACTAAGGAGCAGAGACGATTTTCAAAAATGTAATGCAGTTTTACTATATAATTAATACCCCACCAAAATAAACCCCTAACCCAGCGGCCACAAATTTAAAAATTTTGAAAGAGGCACTCTTGCTCATCATAACCATACACTTTGCTTAGCTGTTAAATATCGAGGAGCAGAGAAGAAGAGAAAAAGATTTTTAAAGAAATAATGCAGTTTCACTACAAATTATAAGGAATGATAAAGCCCCACCCTATACCAGAACCCCAGACCCAAGAGCCACATAAAATTCACAATTTTAGAAAGACATCCTTATTCATCATAAGTATGCACTTAGTTTGTTTGCCTAATATCCAGTAGCAGAGGAGATTTTTAAAGAAATTATGCACTTTCACTATATGATCTATACAGCCCCACCCTAGTACCAGAACCCCCCTGACCCTAGAGCCATGAATTTCACAATTTTGGTAGAGGGTTTAATACATACTACAACCATAATAACAGTTTGACTGCTTGGTGTCCAGGAGTTAGAGGAGAAGGTTTTTAAAGATGCATAAGTTTTTATGGTTTTAGCCCCATCCCTCAGGCCTTGGGGAGGGGGGGGGAGGGGGACCATGAAATTCAGGATTTTTTGTTTCCCTTTACCCACAGATGCTATATGTCAAAACTGGTTGAAATTGGTTCAGCAGTTCCAGAGAAGAAGCTGAAAAAAATTGAATTAGAGACTTAGAATTTTTTTCATCATCAGCAAGGGTTTAATTATTATTCTTTCTGTTCATTCCTTATAATTAGGCTTGGCAAAGTGGTTTTTTTTTGTTGGTCAAAATATTTCCTAGAGTGATTTTTGTCCCCGACTTCACAAAAGGGGACATTAAATCTCATTCATCTGTCAGTCTGTGCGTCACAAAAACTTTAACCTTGGTCATAAGTTTTGAATGGAAAGAGATAGGGCTTTCGTATTTCTCATGTACACTACCTGTGACAAGATATTTCCAAATATACTATGATTTTTTACCCCGTGACCTTGACCTTGAAGTTTGACCTACTTTTCAAAAATTTTAACATTACTTTAAATCGGTCATAACTTCTGAATGAGAAAAGACAGGGTTTTCATATTATATATGTATATTACCCGTGACAATACCTTTCCAAATATACTATGATTTTTGACTCTGTGACCTTGACCTTGAAGTTTGACTTACTTTTCAAAAATTTTATCTTTGCTTATAACTTCTGAATGAGAAAAGATAGGGTTTTCATATTATATAATTATGTATATTACCTGTGACAAGACCTTTCCAAAAATACTATGATTTTTGACCCTGTGACCTTGACCTTAAAGTTTGACCCACGTTTTTGTTTATAACTTTTGATTGAGAAGAGATAGGGCTTTCATATCTGACATGTGCATTACCAGTGAGAAGGTGTTTCTGAGCATGCTATTATTTTTTACCCCTTGACTTTCATGTTTGATGTAATTTTCGAAAATTTTATCTTTGATTACTTTTGAATGAGATATGATAGGGTGTTCATAAATGACAAGTGCATTATCTGTGTCAAAATGTTTCAGAATAAGCTATGACATTTGACCCCGTAACCTTGACAAGTTTGACCTATATTTGAAACATTTCATCAATGTTGCTAAGTTTTGAAGGAGCGAAGATAGGGCATTCATATTTGACATGAGCATTACCTGTGACCAGCATTTCCAAATGTACTTTGACTTTTAATCCTATGACCTTGACCTTGAAAATTGACATACTTTTCAAAAATATTAACATTGCTAATAACTTTTGATTGAGAGAAGATACTGCATTTACTTTTGAAATGTGCATTACCTGTTTCAAGACCTTTCCGAATGTATACTTTGGTTTTTGATATTTTATTTTTCACACGTGTATTACTTGTGACAAGACCTTTCAGATTTTATTATGATATTTGACCTCATGACCTTGATCTTGAAGTTTGATGAAGTTTTGAGAAGCTATAATCTTTGCCACAATATATATATATATATATATATATATATATATATATATATATATATATATATATATATATATATATATATATATATATATATATATATGTTAGGGATGGCAATCGAATACAGAATTGCTAATCGTTTAACCGCAAGACGTTCCGACCGATTAACCGGTTAATCGTATTAAAATACAATGGCATATTTTCATGGCATGTATTACATATTTTTTTAAGTAACTCTATTCATATAAACAAGAAGACTAAAAAAAAAAGACTTTAGAAGTTAGGAAAATTCTGTATACCTTGTTCAGGAAACTACATATACACTGTACTAGTACATGTACATACTCGTATATTTTATTTTAATTCTAATAGACAAACAAAAAAAAAAAAAAAAAAAAAAAAAACACGAAACATGCCCGAGAAATCAGACTGTGACATCGACATTTTTGCAGAGCAGAATATATTCCGCACTGTCACTAAAATCAAAACTAAGTCAGGACTTTCTCTTAATTTACAATGTTTGTTTAGTAATATAATTTGAAAGATGACTGCAAAAGACAGATACCAATTCACAGTGCTCAACGGCGATTTAATTAATGTCATTATAAAGAATTTCAGGACAGTCGGGGTATCGACAAGGTGTTTAATCACTAATAAACACTTCTCAACTGACCAATTAGCCCGCGATCTCAATCTGGAAAACCATAATTACCACCACTTAACAGATAAGTCGATATGCTAAATTATTAAGGTTTATGCACAGGTGTCTTTTATTTTTAAATGAATTTTAAAAAATTGCGTTCAAATTTACATATATATTATTTTTTCCGACTAACCGATTACAGATTTTCTAACCGATTACCATCGTTCCGACCGAGTAATCGGTTAACCGGTTACAAATTGCCATCCCTAATATGTATATATATATATATATATATATATATATATATATATATATATATATATATATATATATATATATATATATATATATATCTGTCTCATGATATTCTGTCATGATATATTAGCTGGGTATCTAAATCAGGCAAGTAGCATCAGTTTTGAAAAGAAGGAGGGCTGCCAGACAACACAAAAAAATCCACAACTTACTGTTGTTTAGAAATGTTTGGAACAAGAGACCCATGGACCACATTGCTGACCTGAGCACTTTCAAACAGAAAAGCTCTTCTTTGAACCTTCAGCTCAGGTGAGCTAAAAAGAGGGGATGGAGGCACCCCCTCTGCTGCAGAAATCTAAACCTTACATCCATTATTTTTTTTATCGTATTGACAACAAAGCATATTCATACAGACAATGTCAGAAAATACTGCTGCATGTAGAAAAAATTGCCAAGAGAAAAAAGGAAAATCAATACAGGAATAGTGTACAGTAAAACGTACTTATAATGAACATGCTTTTATGAATACACATGAAAAGTGAAGTGATATTCTTTCCATTTAGTTTTTAAATGCAATTTAAACTCATTATGGATGAGTATCAATATGCAAAAAAACATATGTCATAACAATATTTTTGAGTTGTGAATCATAGTATGTACCAATACATATCATTTTTCATTCATGTTCCATCAGAATATTTTTGTTATCACTGAAATGTTATCACTTATAAATTTCTTCTTCAATCTACTAATACAACCTGAATTATATAAAAATTTTATAACCAATCTTATATGTAAAAAATGTAATAATAATTAAATAAAATCTCCAAAAACTAACAGTACAATGATATCTTGCCAAGAAAATTCGTAGCTGCCATTTCCGACCATGTATTCATGATCATGATCAAAGAAGTGCATAGCACTAAGTATATTTTACATTTTGTAAAGCATTTAAATGATGTGAATTTTCCAGATTGCTGTACTGGTAACCAGGTACAAGCCAAATGTATGACGATATACCGGTATATCGTTACACCCCTAAAACTCATAGGATATATAATGAATTATGTTTATAACGAATCAATATTTTTAGTCCCAGGCACTATGCTAGAAGCATACTGTATATTTAACCCTTGACACATATGTTATAGAAATTTGACTGCAGAATTGCATCATCATTGTGCCCCATCCATAGTCACACTTACGGTATATACTGTACAACTGGTTAGTGAAGCACAAGTCAGGGGATAATGACAGTGTTAACATGGTGAAAACAAGACATCAAATCAGAGCAAATTGATTTATTTAAAAAACAGTACCAATGTGTACAATATGTAGATGACAATGACAATTCTGAAACTGTTTAATAGTTCAAGAGAGCACATCAGGTCTCCTGTGTTAGGTCGGACAATTTACAGAAGAGACGGAGATAGCACTAGGTAACAGTAACCCTGAAACATTGGCACAAGCTACAGTAGCCCAGATTTCCTCTCCATCAGTAAATGTACATCCCCTATTGCCTCACAATCAGCTGGATCTGAAAATAAACATCAGTAAAGTGAGTATAGGTATCAATAAAGTTAATCCTTGTCTACCTACATATAAGCAATAAAAGGCTGTCAGTAAGCTTGTCCCTCTGTCTGTCTGTAAGTCTGTCCCTCTGTGTGTCACTAAGTCTGTCTCACTGTCAGTAAGTCTGTCCTTCCAACTGTCATCAAGTCTGTCCCATTGGCTGTCAGTAAATCTGTTCTTCTGACTGTCCATAAGTCTCCCTTTGAGTGTCTGTAAGTCTGTCCCACTGACAGTTAGCAAGTCTGTTCCACTGGCTGTCAGTAAGTTCTGTCCCTCTTGGCTCTGTCAGCAAATCTGTCTCACTGACAGTCAGCAAGTTTGTCCCACTGACTGTCATTAAGTCTGTCTCTCTGTGTGTCAGTAAGTCTGTCTCACTGACTGTCAATAAGTGTGTCCCTCTCGGCTCTGTCAGCGAGTCTGTCTCTCTGTCAATAAGTGTGTCCCTCTCGGCTCTGTCAGTCAGTGTGTCCCTCTCGGCTCTGTCAGTAAGTCTGTCTTTCTGTCAGTAAGTCTGTCTCACTGACTGTCAGTAAGTCTGTCCTTCTGACTGTCAGTAAGTCTCCCTTTGAGTGTCAGTAAGTCTGTCCCACTGACTGTCAGCAAATCTGTTCCTCTGATCATCAGTAAATCTGTCCTTCTGATCAGCAAATTTGTCCCACATGCTGTCAGAAAGTCTTTTTCTGACTGTCAGTAAGTCTCCCTTTGACTGTCAGCAAGTCTGTCCCACTAACTCAAGTCTGTTCCTCTGATCATCAGCAAGTCTGTCCTACTTGTTGTCAGTAAGTCTGTCCTGACTGTCAGCAAGTCTGTCCCACACTGTCAGTACCGTATATACTCGCCTATAAGTCGGTTTTTTGGGAGTTAAATTTTGGTCCAAAACTCTAGGTCCGACTTATAGGCGAGTCATAAAAAGATTAGTATTATCTGGATGTCGAAATGTAGTATGGATATATCATATCATTTATGCATTCTGAGATTATACATAAAGTACAAGTATTTACATATTTTAATAACTTTATTTTTATTTAAAGTTTGCATTATGTATTTTTTTTAATGATTTAAAATTAAATATTGGTGTCATTTCTAAGAATATTAAACGAAACTAGGTTAAAAAATCAGAGCATTGGTTTGAAATTGTCAACTGATTCTAACAAAAAGTTGTACCAACTTATAAGCGGGTCAATGGCAAATCCCTCTAAAATAACCTCACAAAATACAACCGACTTATAGGCGGACCGACTTATAGGCAAGTATATACGGTAAGTCTGTTCTTCTGACTGTCAGCAAGTTTGTCCCACTGAACATTAGCAAGTCTGTCCCACTTACTGTCAGTAAGTCTGTCCCACTTGGTTTTTCCATACCTTTTTTCCAGATGCTTGCATATAAAAAGTATTGAGCAGACTTTTTGTTACATGATTCTCGATGTGTTTCAAATTAATTTCACATTTCATTCATCTTCAATGATTTTTGATAGAATCTTTGCCAATACCAGATGGGACTCGTATTACTTATGCAATACTCTCAGAAAGCTTGCTGATTTTATCCAATAAAAAGTCATTTGCTTATACTTGTTTATACTTCCTGTAAAGTTGATAGAAATTTTAAAGAAGCTTCCCCCCCACCACCACCCCTTTTTCTTTCATTCAAGACTTTTACACATCAGAAATCAATATTGTCTCATCTTTCAATTTTATTTTTATTTCTTAGAAGAAATCTGGCAAAATTTGAATTTTAAAAACAATGGGACTATCTCAGACCAGTAGAGCTAACAAATTAAGAAAAAGATTGATCTACTCTGCTGTTTCCCTAAACTGCGCGTCCAATGAGTTGGCGACATCATACATGATCTGTTAGTACAGCAAGATCATACTCGGTGAATACAGGGGCGGTATTATTATGTAAAAACAGGCCATAATCAGTATATGATATAATAGGTGGTGAATTAAAAAGATGATAATTTCCCTGTTAAAACCCTGATTTTTTGGTCGTGCACCAAAGGACCATACCATGTGCACATTCAAGTATAATAAAATCCTTATTTTTACCTATAATTTATCAACAATATTAAAATTTACTCATATATGATAAACATTTGCTAAAAATTTCAGCTTAGTGTGCGCATTATTCTTTTTTATAAAAACATGATGTCCACGATTTTACCGGACAACCCTTGTATGTTATTATTGTCCATAATGGTTTGTTAGGGAAACACAAAACAATTGTCCATAGTGGTTTTGTGAGGGACGCTAATGGTTTTATGGGCGATACATGATACAATTGTCCTCAATGGTTTTGTTCGAACAGTACTTACCGTTAAGAATATCCTCAAAGTCAATGATTTCATCTCGTCCAGACAAAGTATCGCTCATTAAATGAGAACTGTGCATCCCTGGTAGTCTGTTTATCTGAAAGAATAGTTCATCTTCTCAGAAAGTGATTTCCTTACACAATATTAATCCCACTGAATTCAGTTGTAAAATATCCTGTTTATACTATTTTGCTATACTATAATAATACTCATAATGTTATAAACTTCCACTAAATGGTTATTATGCAATTTTTTTTTGTCATACTTGCGAAATATTTTTATTTACACATGCCTAAGTTCATTGGATAAATTAGTATTAAAATGAATACTTTTTGTGCTACACTCCTTTCCATCTGTAGTCTTAATGGCATATGGATTCCCTGTGTATTTCTCAACATTGCAAAGTCCATTTTAAGTTTGTTTTCCTGCCACTAAAATGAAAGCAGCACAGATTGATTAAAGTCTAAACCGAAAACCTGGAAACATTCAAATCTGGTCTCATTTCAGGGAAGTCACTTTTATCTTACACATGTAACTCTTACATTGATTTGGGCAAAAATTTCATAAAGTTTTTAAAAGCTGAGTTACTTATTCTGCTCACATGTTTTTCTGAATATTCCAGAGGGTGTACTGTCCCAAGTTTAGACCTGCTGGACTGTATGCTGGAAGCAAGAAAAAAAAAAATATAATTACCAGGTAAATTAAGAAAGGATTTCTTGTGCATTCAGTGTATGATTGACCCAAGTTTTCCAAATCAAAAAGGCATCTAATCTATGTCCAGTAAAGTTAAAAATAGAAATACAATGCAATGCATTTTATTTTTTGCTTTATCAGATCACTTTTGATGCATGCTTAAAAAAGAAAATTGTTATAATTCATTTGGCATTCATGGAACCGATAGTGCAACCTCATGTGTTACAAGTATGCCAACAAGTAGCAGATCTGCTCCATTCTACAAAGAGGTCTACTTTTAACTGTGGTTAGGGTCTGTCTGAAGATATTAATACTTAAAATGTACAAATTGCAATATAATTAGGGATCGGGTCAATTATATACCTTGGTAATTAATTAAATTACAATTATTTAGCCAAATTTTTCAATTAAATTACACTTATTGCAGTTTACAAATGTCATTAATTAAATTACAAATACTTGGCTAAAGTAATTCATTAAATTACAATTAATTTTCTAAGTTTCAAAATATTATTAACAAAGGTTTATATAAAAAAAAATCATAAGTTTATTTGTAAATGAAGATATCAGTCACATTTCCCATTCAATTCTTAAAAACTTTTTCATTGCATTTAAACAGTTCATTTTTTAAAAGTTAGGTCATTCATATGGCAATTGTCTTGGTGTAGTATCTTTCTAGCTAAACTTTGCACTTAACCTTAATTTTCTGACCCAGCATTTGGAGGAACATCAAAGTATATGTGTACCTGTCAGGATATTATAAAATAACATCAACCGATAGCCCTTAGAATATTCAGTGATACATCTAAATCTAATAGATTTAAGTTTACATAGAATAATGTTTGCAGAGATTAATGTGGAAATTTTGTGTAAGATTTTAACAAGTGGCCCATGGGTTACAAAACTCATCTGAGTCACTTTTTCCTACATTCCTCTGTAAAACTTTGATCACTATTGTGGCCACACCCTATCCCGGGGTCATGATTTGTACAAACCTGAATCTACACTACCTGAGTATGCTTCCATATAAATATGACTCATCATGCCTTTACTGTTCTTGAGAAGAAGATTTTTAAAGATTTTTTCTTAAGTGTTTCTATGTTAATCTTGCGTCATCCATTGTGATCCCATTCTACCTCTGGGGGTATTAATTTGAACATAATTAATTAATAACAGATATTTTTCTTTCATGCATGTTCTCCTCCCCTTCACCCTCCTCTCTTTTTCCCTCTCTCTATCCCTATTGTCACTATTTTGTACTGTTTATTATATTCATAAAAAATATATTTTTGTATGCTATATTATAAACACGTTTGTGACAATTGATATTAAAAAAAAAAAAAAAAAAAAGAAGGCTCTTTTCCTATACCCCTGTACAACTCTGATTGCCTTTTATTGCCCCAACTTCCCCAGGGGTTCTTGATTTGAACAAATTTGAATCTACACTATGTAATTAAGCTTTCACATAAGTTTCAATATTTCTGGCCCAGTGGTTCTTGAGAAGATCTTTTAATGATGCCATTAAATTTTCACCTATTCTTAACTTTCTCCCCTTGAATGAGAGCGTGGCCTTTCACTTGAACAAACTTGAATCCCCTTCACCCAAGGATGCTTTGTGGCAAATTTGGTTGAAATTGGCATAGTGGTTCTGGAGGAGATGAAAATGTGTAAAGTTTAAAACAACAACAATGATGACAGACAATGGACAAATTTCGATCAGAAAGGCTCACTTTTCAAGTGCCTTTGGCTCAGGTGAGTTAAAAATGTCATAAAAAGTGTGCAAAAATTTGTTTTGATTTATATAGAAAATGGCACAGAGTTACAAATTTAAACATCAAAGAAAATCTACTACTTCTTTATATTTTAGGAATATATAATTTGGGAGGGAGTAGGTATGTCTAGATCATCCTGCCTTTTTGCAATGAATCCATGAATAACTGATAACTGATGAAACAAAGAAAATTATCCTGTAGATGATGTGGTAGTGACCAGTCTAGCCATTCTTCCATTTAAATGCTATATAGGCACTTGATTTTATAAATATTTACCCATTCAGCATCATGTCTGGTACTCCATATGGTCCCTCTGGTAACTTGATCTCATGGGAGCCATCAGGCTGAGGTTTTACTGAGGGGTATGGAATACTCTGTAATTAATATAAACCTTAATGTTTTACTGAGAGGTATGGAATACTCTATCATATAAACCTTAATGTTTCACTGAGGGCTAGGGAATACTCTGTAAAATAAACCTTTATGTGACTGTCAAAGTGAGTAACACTGCACCCCAATTATAAAGCACTAGCACGTAGATTTTTTTTAAAAAGAAAATTCAGGGGGCTTTCTTTCCCACTATTCCCCAATAGCTGTCATATCATCATCAATCTGGATCTAAGGACTAATTTTTAAGATTTGGGAAGAGGAAATACACATGCAATTGCCAAGATGCTTCCATATAAATAAGACCAATCAAGGCTTTGCTATTCTTGAGATGAAGATTTTTAAACATTTTTTCTATGTATTCCTATGTAAAAATATGATTGCCCATTGTGGCCCCATCCTACCCCCCAGTAGTCATGGTTTGAACAAAGGAGTATTCTACTTAAGTATAGTAGACTAGTGTGGTCCCTTTTTACACCCTTCGTTTACCGGTTAAATATTAGCATACAGTATTTTGTTTCTTTTTATTGTGTATAAAGAAGTATCTCATTAAACTTAAAGCTTTGCGTCTTCATGATGAATAATTAAATGTATCAAAAAATACAAGCCAATTTTTTAAACCTATCGCGCTAAAAAACGCCGGAACATTTCCCCCCCATCAGACAATGGTTTCTCTATAACATGAAATGGGCAGAGACACTTAGATAAGATAGTAAAGATACTATAAAAAGAATATCTTGATATGATATTTTTCTTTCAAAGACAAATTATATGTTCAGATTCACAATCAACTACAAATACAATTCTCTATTTACAAATATTTGACAATAATACGCTATAACAAGATGAACCAAACAAGTCCATGCCGACAGATATAAAACTGAGTACGTTTCAACTGAGAGCTAGCACGTTTACTGGGGGCAATTACCTGTAACGATACAAATCCACGTGGCTTGTTATGATTCTAAACAGGTCATAAAGAGGTTAATCGCATGTAAATGAAGTCAGCAAAGAGATTCAAAATCACAATACTTTTAATTAGAAAACATAGAGCACAAGGTTGTTCAACAAAGATATTTTCATTCAACCTTTACGCATATAATATACACATTATATTTCAAACTCAACTCTGAACAAACCTGTGCTCGGTGTTTACAAAAGCTTTGAAATGTGTATGTATTACTGATTTCTTTTGATATTCATGAAAATCAAAAGACCCTGTCTTCAACATGCAGCTTCGTATGCTGCCTATATCTATTGTTTGACATTTTTAGATGATGATTCAAATAATAAAGACATTTGTTAATAATAAAATTTAATTTATAAATCTTTTAATAAATGTTCAAAATTTGACAAGTAACCGGGGACCATAGGTAAGCCTTATTGAGACTTGTTCTTTGAATCTACACTACCTGAGGATGCTTCCATATTAATATGACTAATAATGGCTTTGCTATTCTTAGGAAGAAGATTTTTCAAGATTTTTTCTCCATATTTTAGTATGTAAAACTTTGATCCCCCATTGTGGCCCCTTCTACCCCCGGGGGTCATGATTTGAATGAACTTGAATCTACACTTCCTGAGGATGCTTCCATATCAATATGACTAAACATGGCTTTGCTGTTCTTGAGAAGATTTTTAAAGGTTTTTTTCTATACATTGTAAAATTTTGATCTCCCATTGTGGCCCCATCCTACCCCTCGGGGTCATGATCTGAACAAATTTAAATCTACACTATGTAAAGAAGATTTCATATAAGTTTCAACTATTTTGGCCTAGTAGTTCTTGAGAAGAAGATTTTTATTATTACTTCGATCTTAAAATGGATTCTTCTCGAGGGAATAATATTTTCGAAATTTAAATCAAAGTGAAATTGTGCCATTTAAATTCAAGCTTTGAATTTAATTAAGTGAAAAATGAGTTTTGAGTATTGAAATGCCGCTCGTCACTGCGAGCTCTTAAAGAAACACATGGGCGAAGAGAAAATTCGGACTTTGCACATTGATCCAAACAATTTTTTTCCCACAGTTACCTCGAGACCCACAATGCAATGCTTGTTGTTCTCTCTGCTAACTTTGTTCTCGTGGTAACAACAACTAAACATTCACAAAAAATATCAGGGTTTGACACTCAGGCACGTCCGACTGACCCAGTCTAGTAAATGAGTGGTCCGGTCGTGTAAAATGTATGCGAACTAGACCGATTGGTCGTGTTGATAAAATAACTGTTAAAGTCCCATTTCAATGTTCAAATAAATAATCTAATAACTTTAAAAGAAATTTTCTTCTTTCTCCAAAGCCATCACTATATAAAGGAGAAAAAAATCCCGCATAAGACAATCGCTATTTTTAGCCACGGCTGTAATTGGCAAGTCACAGTCAAAACTACAGCCATTCAGTACCAATATGTTTAAATAGATTCATATAGTACAGTTTTAAATTTATACGGAAGCTGGTAGGAGCCAGGTAGAAAAAATATTTCATTTGGCAGCCGCCAAATAATTATCTGGAGGCCGCCACATAAATGACTGGCGGCCGCCAGATAAAAAGATCAGGCATCCACCATATATCTTATCTGGCAGCCACCATATAATTAATTGGCGGTCACCATTTATATTTATGTGGCAGTCGCCAGATCTATTTATTTGGTGTCCGCCAGAAAATTATATGGCGGCCGCCAGATAATTTTCTGGTGGTCGCCAGTTGTTTATGTGGCGGCCCCCAGATAATTATCTGGTGACTGCCAGATAAAATATTTTTCTACCTGGCACCTACTGGCTTCTGTAAATTTATTAATATTTACGATAATCATTTTATTTAATAAATTAACATCTTTAAGGCTTTTAATACTCAAATATCACAATGAACCAAACTCAATTGGCTGGGGACTATTGAACAGTCTGTCAAAAATATTGACACATGCAAAAGACAATGTCTTTCTTAAAGATGGTTTCAGAAGTTACCTCATTTAAATTCGCGATTATAAGAAGTAAATTTGCAAGTAATTAGTTTGGTCAGGGCTAGTGATTTTGTGGTCAGGGATAGTAAAAATTATTAGAAGTAGCCCAATTGGTCTAGTACTAATCAAAGTTAATGTCAAACCCTGAATATACTCAACTAATTTAATGGATATTGCATATAGAGATAGTAGATTAAACGTTCTTTGTTAAAATTTTGCACTTTTTAAACTTCGTTTATGGAAATGCAGCTACATATGATGTCATGTGACGTCACAGTCTAGACGTTCCAAATGTCTTGTGCGGTTTGAAGAGGTGGATCTTAAAATTAAGTGAAGAACTGAGCTCGCCCCAACGGTTGCACTGTCGACATATTGGGCGCGCTTGATTTACTTACACTGCTTACACCGTGTACACCTTTCTTAATCAAGTCCATGGGTGTAGACTTTTGGCTTACACTCGGTGTACACTTTCTTACACCAAATTTAGGGCATGTGTTGAAAGGTGTACACTGAATCCAATATGGCGGAGAATAGTATGATTGAAATTTTAAGAAATGATTTTATGTAATATAAAGGATAAGAAATCACATTCAAGTTGTCTTTTGTGTGTAAGTGATGACATTGAAATTATTTTTTAATCATTTTATATAATTTAGTCAATTCTTAATGTATCTTAATTTTCTTTTCACTTTAAACCAAAAAGTTTTAGCCCCACACTGGCGAGATGCAAAACATATATTACACCATATGCACTACACCTCTTAAAATGCACTTGATTATACACCACCACCTTTCACACCGGTGTACACCAAGTTAAGCTAAATCAAGCACGCCCATTATTTCATTCTTTCATACATGGCACGAATAATGCTTAATAATTTACCTCTAATACAGGTTTTCATTAAAGGGTTTTTATCACGTCTAAAAATTTTTTGATATGACAAAGTTTACATGCTATAAAAATCATATACAGTTAAACTTCGTTATCTTGAAGTTGATGGGACCGTTAATGAACTTCGAGATATCCGGGGGTTCGACATATCGAGGGTTATAATTCTAATGAACTTCAAATAAACTTAGTGCAGTGAACATGCACTTAATAAAATTCCTTCTTGTTTGAAATTCTGTATACGCGTACGACTTCTTTACTATACATGTACATGTATTTAGCATTTAAAAGATTTTTACATCCTCTTTATAATTCGCAAAATAAAAACTTTGTATAGTATGCACAGAAGTATAATCCTCTACCAACACGGCAAGTCAACTGCTAGCATCGTTTCCCATGTAAACATAACCGGTTATCGTCTATGCATTGTAAATTTAAAATCAGTCGCTGTCAGAATAACGGAAACGAAATATAATATTTTTTTATTGGAAAAACTTGTTCATACATGTATAATCAGTTAAAAGAAAAAAATTTACCATCATAAAATGAAATGCAAAAGAAGAAACACGCACTTTTGTCTAACTACAGAACGACACTGAATCACAGGGCACTATAGCACAAGTTTTCACTGCGACACACGCTCACATGATGCTATGTACTGACGATTGTAAATTCTGCGCGCTCATATAGGAAAAATAAATTCTAATTGCATTAAATTACAGAATTTTGTTTCACTTTAATGTTTATAATTTTCGCTTTCATATGCATAAACTATGCAAGCGCACATAGCATTAAATAGCGATTACCAAGATAAACATACCCCAGCCACAAAACCATTAACGTGTCATCCACGCGCATGCATTGGACTAATACACACAACCTTTAGCTTGCATAATTAAAATCAAGGTAAGCCATACATACACCTCGTATAATTATCGCGCTATTATCTGTTGATCACAGGAACACAGGTAACCCATGCGTGACAGACAGGTGGCTGTTATCAATAGAGCGTTCAGTTCACCTAACAGACTTGATCATCAGAGCGGAAAATTATCCTGACTTCGAGATAACGCATGTGATTTTAATGAATGGGTACACAATTTTACTTCGAGATAACCGGGGTATTCGACATTACCGTGTTCGACATAGAGGGGTTTATTTTAATCATTTATAAAGCAAATTTCGTCGGGACCGCGGTCTTACTTTGACATATCCGGGGTATTCGAGATATCCGTGTTCGAGATTTCGAAGTTTAGCTGTATTTAAAAATCTTTGCTAGAAAATTAATATTTTTGATGTTTCAGCGATTCAAAGTCTGAATTTCTCAATATGCATATTTTGATCGCCGATGTTACGCGCCATTGCTCTGACGTCATAGGTGTCAATCCTGGTCAAGCGAAGTACTTATTGTGTATACAAAAGGGCTCATTTGTTGTGTCTATTAAACCTGTTAGAATATATTTAAGTAATAATTGAATAATTGACAGCTTGTAAGGTATAATTTATGGCTTTATGGTGCACAAATGTGCACAAAAAAAGGTTTTGAGAAGATTTTCCCCCCACATTTCCTGGACTTGGTCAAGAGATGAAAGGGGGGCCTTTCTCTGCAAATGCGATGGTGTTTATCTCCATTCAGAACAATCGTTTATGCCCGATCGATGACGAATTTTTTTCTGTCCTATAAAATATTTTAAGGAAAGATACTTTTAAAAAAAATAATAAATGACAATCACACATTTTTTAAAAGTCACACAGAATCTAGTAGGAATGTCGTGAACTTCGTAATGGCGTATGGCGCCATTGAAGAAGTGTCATTTCTAGTACATGATATTCAACTGCTGGAACAGATAGAAGATATACAGGATTTATTTATTTATAATTAAAATAATAATGATGGAGAATTTAAAATTCCCATATTTATAAATGTTTACGAAGTTAAACTTTAGTAATTCGTTCTATTTAGTTGAAGTCCCGAGTTGTCAACGGCTTCGTCTTCGGTGACCTCTCTCCAATTGTCGGCATATTTTCTGGTTATTTCTCTCTGCTAGACGTTCATACCTAAAAGATTGACCATCCATAACCAAAGGAATATAGTTGATGTCAAAATTTCAACCGGCCATACTGTGTATTCTATTTATTTAGCATAAAAATCTATTCAATATATTTTTTCTTACGATAAGCTTTACGAGTTCTATTGACCATTGACACCTATGATGTTTCAGTACCACGTGACCCCTATCGAATTAGTGGAGATTTTTACTTCGAGGACCCTATATTATGGGCGTTTTATCGTCTAATTACGGCCGTTTTTAACATTAGTTCCTAATTAAACGATAACTATATGTTTCAAGAATATAATATTGTTTCATTTTTAAGAAATTTTGATACGTGATAAAAACCCTTTAATGCAAGAATCTGCATACTGGACGCAGCAAAATTATTTGGAACACAGGGTTCTTAAAAATGATGTGTCCGCAGACTCATGAGTGGACGCACCCTCGAAAGTGAGAAAGTTTGGGTGTCTTCAATATTTGAAGATTTTAGATGTCAGGATTTGTCCAAAACATATTAAATCATAACCTTCCTGCAAATAATCGCTTCAAGTATTTCCTTTTCAGTAATTTCACTATCAAGCTCATCAAAAACAGTTTGAACATTAAATTCAAAGCTAGGTTAAGCTACTTCAGGTAGGTAAATAAAGATAATTAGGTAATTCAAACTACAAAGCTAAATCTTAGTGATTGTACCAGTCCTGGTTAATCAATAGATTGTAGTTGAACCATAATTTTTTTCTTCTTCATATATTCTTCAAAGTTTGCGATATATTCATTAAGTACCCATAAAATCGTAAATGTGTGTAAATTTTTATAACTTATTTTCGTGATTAAGACAGTCTATTATACCTAAAACTAAAATTGCTCAGTCACGGACACTTACCGTGGACGCCATGTTGTTTTTTAACTTTTGCGTCAGTTGTTCTTTAATGATTCGTATAGATTTTTTTTCCTGCCTTCCTTCACTCAGTATAATTTTCTTTCGTGGGAATGGTTGAGGGACAAAAAAAAAAAGAATTTTTGTTGATATTTATGAGCATGCTTATTTCCTACAAAGTAATATTTCATGATATCTCGCAAAAACATCAAGGGCAGAGAACTCCAAATGATTTCGGAACTCCCTCAGTACATTTCCTTTTCAGTGCTACTTCACCGTTCACGCATTTTGAGAGGGCTTGACTCATATAAGTGCATTAGTGATTAGTGTTTGGACGCAGATATTGGAGATGATGGTTACTGTGAATTTATAGGAAATAATTTATTGATGGAGAGGAGTTTTGTGGCTATCTTTGTGAGTTCAGTGGTTCTAGTGACTGTCTGGACTCAATCAGGTGAGAATATCATGTTCACCTGTCAGGTAAACAGGTAAAAAAAGATACATTGAAATAAAAACATCTGAAGTGTTATTGACATACTGTCAACTAAACTGACCTAGCAATGAAATTCCACATATTCCGATTAAGAAAGTCGTAGATAGTTTCTCTTCTCTTGTTCAATAGAAAATGTTAAACATGCTGAAAGGAAATTTTGTTTCTTTCATAAAAGACTGTAATAGAAAAAATGGTCATTGATATCAGACGATTTGTGTTTTAAAAAAATATCTTTACAAATAAAAATTATATTATATCCAACAATGACTATCTGATATATTTTTTTCTTTGATTTTGTGCAGTTATTGAATTTCTTCTTTGAACTAAACAGCACTTGCACTATGAATTCAGCACTAATAATTCTGTTTCATTCTCTAAAAGTGGTATTAGATGTACACATTTGTAATATTTCTAAAAGAGGGTCTTCATTTACTGATCAGTTCAAATCTGTTAGTCTCAGTTAAACAATGCATTGTATACAGGTAAACAAGCCAAGAGGAAATTGTCATGGATGACCAATTCCAGCATACTTTATTGTGCTGGGGTTTGTTCTTGGGCATCATTTCATGTGTGTGTGCCTTTCAGTGTCGTGTATTTTTGACCTGATGTACTGGATTAAACTTTAAGTGGGTCTGCCATTTCCTGCCTTTACAAGTCCTCTGTGGGTTTTGTAACATTAAGCTTAGGGGAGAGGAAATGTGATTTAGGGGCCTGGCTGGGGAAAGAAATCTCTTGAAAACCATAATGAAGGTCATAAGAATTATTAACAATTTAAAACTATTATCATATTACATATTCAAAGCTAAGTGGAAATCAAAATGAATCAGTAAGGCAAAACGAAGTACACTTGATACATATGGTGTTGAAGATTCTCAAAGTATATCAGTAAAAACTATTCATTTGTACTGCATATTAATTGACACAGACACAGTATTTGTAACTTGCAGTATTTGTTCACAAATAAAACTTTAAAAAAAGCTTTATATTAGTAAAAAATAAGATTTATTTTGTTTCTAAAGTTTTATACTGTATATTGAGCTCTCTACCTCACTTCCATACATTCTTGTAAATAATCAGATGATTAACCTTGTTAAACCTCTAGCTTTTCCCATCAGTGTGTGCACTTCCTATTGCCTACGTCTCCCCTCCTCTTTCAGTAAAGATTTTATCTTTAAAAAAAAAAAAAAAAACAACTCTGATTTTGTGTAAAACTAATGTTTTGCTGAAGAGATCGCAGCATTCCAGACTCAACAGTTGGTGTATCCTCTTATCTGTGTGTGTTACACCATCAGCTTGTGCAATATTTGAAACAACAATCAATCACACTGCTTTAAGGCTAGATCTATGAACAGATGCTGGGATTCCTAATTCTTACCTATGTTTACATTCAAAGTTTGAAATCCCTCAGTTTTAATTTTAGAACAGTAACTAGTTTTCCAGCTATTGGCAGCACAAAGTCATGTGATTTCAATTAAACATTGATGTATGTTTTGACTGTAATCTTTAAAGCTTTTGATGTTCTCACCTTGGGACTTGTGAAAACATTTTGGGTCTGGCTATTGAAATTGACTGCTGGTTTTAACATCATGTCTGCCAGAATACAACATAGCTTGTGTTGATATAAATGAAAATGTTTCTTCCTTCATGCATGCGTGTGCTTAATTAAACCATTATTTGAATAAAATGGTGATCTTAGAAGCACTGATGTTTTTAGCTCACCTGAGCTGAAAGCTCAAGTGAGCTTTTCTGATCACATTTTGTCTGTAGTCCGTCTGTCCGTCTGTCTGTAAACTTTTCACATTTTCGACTTCTTCTCCAGAACTGCTGGGCCAATTTCAACCAAACTTGCCACAAAGCATCCTTGGGTGAAGGGGATTCAAGTTTGTTAAAATGAAGGGCCACGCCCTCTTTCAAGGGGAGATAATTAAGAATTAGTGAAAAATGAATAGCATCTTTAAAAAATCTTCTTCTCAAGAACCACAGGGCCAGGAAAGATGAAACTCATATGGAAGCATCCCCAGGTAGTGTAGATTCAAGTTTGTTCAAATCATGACCCCCGGGGGTAGGGCGGGGCCACAATGGAGGATCAAAGTTTTACATAGAAATATATAGGAAAAATCTTTAAAAATCTTTTTCTCAAGAACAGTAAAGCCATGAAGAGTCATATTTATATGGAAGCATCCCCAGGTAGTGTAGATTCAAGTTTGTTCAAATCATGACCCCCGGGGGTAGGGCGGGGCCACAATGGAGGATCCAAATTTTACATAGAAATATATAGGAAAAATCTTTAAAAATCTTCTTCTCAAGAACAGTAAAGCCATGAAGAGTCATATTTATAGGGAAGCATCCTCAGGAAGTGTAGATTCAATTTTGTTCAAATCATGACCCCCGGGGGTAGGGCGGGGCCACAATGGAGGATCCAAATTTTACATAGAAATATATAGGAAAAATCTTTAAAAATCTTCTTCTCAAGAACAGTAAAGCCATGAAGAGTCATATTTATAGGGAAGCATCCTCAGGAATTGTAGATTCAATTTTGTTCAAATCATGACCCCCGGGGGTAGGGCGGGGCCACAATGGAGGATCCAAATTTTACATAGAAATATATAGGAAAAATCTTTAAAAATCTTCTTCTCAAGAACAGTAAAGCCATGAAGAGTCATATTTATAGGGAAGCATCCTCAGGAAGTGTAGATTTAATTTTGTTCAAATCATGACCCCCGGGGGTAGGGCGGGGCCACAATGGAGGATCAAAATTTTACATAGAAATATATAGGAAAAATCTTTAAAAATCGTCTTCTCAAGAACAGTAAAGCCATGAAGAGTCATATTTATAGGGAAGCATCCTCAGGTAGTGTAGATTCAAGTTTGTTCAAATCATGACCCCCGGGGGTAGGGCGGGGCCACAATGGAGGATCAAAGTTTTACATAGAAATATATAGGAAAAATCTTTAAAAATCTTTTTTTCAAGAACAGTAAAGCCATGAAGAGTCATATTTATAGGGAAGCATCCTCAGGAAGTGTAGATTCAATTTTGTTCAAATCATGACCCCCGGGGGTAGGGCGGGGCCACAATGGAGGATCAAAATTTTACATAGAAATATATAGGAAAAATCTTTAAAAATCTTCTTTTCAAGAACAGCAAAGCCATGAAGAGTCATATTTATAGGGAAGCATCCTCAGGAAGTGTAGATTCAAGTTTGTTCAAATCATGACCCCCGGGGTAGGGCGGGGCCACAATGGAGGATCCAAATTTTACTTAGAAATATATAGGAAAAATCTTTAAAAATCTTCTTTTCAAGAACAGTAAAGCCATGAAGAGTCATAATTATCTGGAAGCATCCTCAGGAAGTGTAGATTCAATTTTGTTCAATTCATGGCTCCCGGGGGTAGGGCGGGGCCCAATGGGGGATCGAAAGTTTTACATAAGAACATATAGAAAAAAATTTCTTCTCAAGAACAGAAAAGCTATGTTAGTCTTATTGATATGGAAGCATCCTCGGGTAATGTAGATTCAAGTTTGTTCAAATGATGACCCCTGAGATAGGGAAGAGCTACAATGGGGGATCAAATTTTTACAAATGAATAAATGGGAAAATTCTTTTAAAATCTTCTCAAGTACAACAAATTCATTTGTTATATTGACATGAAAGCATCATCAGGTAGTTTAAAATTCAAGCCCCCCCCCCCCCCTTTCATTACTGAATTGATTTGTGCCTTAGTCTAGCCAATGTGCTCAGGTGAGCGATGTGGCCCATGGGCCTCTTGTTTATTAATAATCTCCTCTAAGATATGACAATAATTTGTACCTCTCAAGCATATAGTGTATATATCATATGCATCAAATCTTCTTTTGCTTTAAAAAAAACCCCGTAGATTTTGTTTCCGTACATAATATTTTTGCCATTCTATTAATGTGTGTCAATATTTTGAAGTACAAATTGTAATTAATATGTGAGATACAGGGCCCTGGGATCAATTGTGTCATCACTCCTTTTAAGATCTGCAGTCTGATAAGTTGCAATAAACCAGTATTGGCTGTATTGGTACTTGAACTATGATTGAAAATCTTTTGAATTTGTATATAGTCTTCTAAACTTTTTCCTGCATTTTTGTTTTTATTAAATGAAGCAAATTCAAATCACATTAAATATGTTACAGATATTAGAATATGCACATTTATTTTTAATTTAATACTTTAAACATGGATTGTTCCAATCATCGATTATAATCGAAAATCAGTCAATTGCTGGCATAATCCAAGTGCTTGATTACAAAATTTTTATTCCAACTAATTGGTTAATTTTTAGGTCACCTGAGTCACTCAGGTGACCTATTGCTATCTGTTTTCGTCTGTCGTCGTCCGTCGTGCGTCGTGTGTTAACATTTGAACATTTTCAGCTTCGTCTCTGAAACCGCTGAACCAATTTCAGCCAATTTTTGCATATGGCATCTATGTGTGAAGGGGAACAAAATTTGTGAATTTCATGGTCCCTGACCCCCTGGGGCCTGAGGGGTGGGGCTAAAACCACCAAAATTAATGCAATCTTTAAAAATCTTCTTCTTTACTCCTGGACATCAAGCAGTCAAACTGTTGACCTGATTGTAATAAGCATTGAGCCCTCTACCAAAATTGTGAAATTCATGGCCCCAGGGTCAGGGGTTCTGGTGCTAGGGCAGGGCTATATAGATCATATAGTGAAAGTGCATTATTTCTTTGAAAATCTTCTTCTCTACTCCTGGGTATTACTGAAACAAATTGAATACATAGTTATGATAAGCAAGAGTGACTCTACCAAAATTGTGAAATTCATAGCCCCAGGGTCAGGGATTCTGGTGCTGGTGGGGGGGGGGGGCTATATAGATCATATAGTGAAAGTGCATTATTTCTTTGAAAATCTTCTTCTCTACTCCTGGGTATTATTGAAACAAATTGAATACATAGTTATGATAAGCAAGGG